TGTAAAATGATTACGGCGAGGTAAAATAGTAGTTGAAACTTAATTTAAATTAATTATTTAATTAATTAAATTATTTACTTATTTTAAATTCGAATCTTTTAAGTATTAATGCATTATTTAAAGCATTCAATTTGACTTTTAATAAAAATTATTAAAAAATTGTTTACCTTGGACTTAACCTACTACCTTTTTTTCTCAGGACCCAACTTACCTACTGCCTCTATTTTCCCGGGATCCAATTTACCGAGAAAAGGTTATTTAGGACCCAATTTACCAACTCCCCAAAATGTAACCAAATTTATTAAATTATTTTTTTTTAAAAAACATACATGTATTAAATTAAATAAATAATTAAATAATAAAATAAATAAAAATTAGATAAATTGGAAAATCCATATTCATATCGATAATACTATGGTCGGATCAACCTGAGTGGCGGACGAGGGGGTTCGACAAAACTACTGTACTTTAATAATAAAGGATAAATTGCATCATCTAAATACTATCTTTCATTTATTTTAATATTATATTTTATAACATGAATACATATTATGTACAGTGTTTTCAGCAATCTTGTAAAAAATACTTTTGAAAAATTACAGTATTAAGATCTTAATACTAGTATTCGAATAAAAAAGTGTTAAAAATACTTTTGAAATACTATTATAAAAATGTATTTTATGAATACTCATAAAGTATTTGAATACAAATACAAGTTTTTTTTTTAATTTTATGCATTATAATATATGTATATAGTACACCAGTATAGATACCTATTATGTTACTACTTTTCATAGATTTTAACAATTACTATAACATGTCTGACTATTTAGAAATATATGTTCACATTTCATTCTGCATTCAAGTATATTTCTACTGATATTGATTAAATTTTAATGAAAAAATATTCAAAATACCGTCGCCGTGCAAAGCATCATTGTATGGTAAACAAAAATATTCCAACGTTGAAAATAGAACTGAGTGTCAAACGTCAGAATGATCAAGAACAGAGATTAGTGAATAAAGAAGTCCTTTAAGTCTTGAAAATGTAGATTTATTTTTATTTTGTTTGATTTTTTAGTTACAATTTCATAGTTTTTTATATATATATATAAATTGTTATGTTTAATTTAAAATTTTTAAATGCTTATTTTAGTGCTTATAATGATGTTTATAAGCGCTTTTTTAAGCACTTATTTTAATGATTTTAAATGTTATAAGTCCCAAGCCCTGATGATGATGAATTGTTTAGTGGTGTCATTCGAATGCTGTAATATGGAAGACTATCTTGTATTCCCGTCATTGACGTTGTAGATGAATTAGAGCCCAAGTCTGATGTTAAATTACTTGTAGATGGTGTCATTTGGTTATTTTGTAATTGTGCCAACTCTAAATCAGACACTAGATTAAAAAGTTTTTTTTTTGCCATCAATTGATATTTTGGTGAGAAAGTTTTGACTGTAGCAGTCAGACCATGGAAAAATGAGTCTATTAGATGTACATCAGTGGTTTTCTTTGACTCATTATTTCCGCTATTTATTAAATGTTGCATCAAAGTAGATGATGCAGTTTCACGTCCAATTTCAATTTCCATTACCATATTGTTCACCTGGGAAATGTCTTCGTCATCACTTATAACAATAACATCAGAAGATGCTATGTTGGAATTTATTTCATGTTCTCTCAAAAATGGAATTAAAAAATTCATAGAATCCTCGTAAATCCATTTTCTTGGTACGACAGCTGCTTGTCCACTTATTGTTTTATTTTTTAATGCTTTTATAAATTGTTCTTTAAGTAACATCCATCGCGCTTTACATAATGAACCTGTAAATAAAATGAAATTTTACATTGATGTACTTAACGAACGTATATGCATGACATTTTCACTGGTTGTTTATATTAGCATTTTCTATACACAATAAAATTTACAAAATTATTTCCAATTATTTTAGTTTTTTTTTTTTTATGAATGTCAATAAAATTGTATTTGTTGGGCCAAAACGCATGAACATTTTTTACAATGCTCCTGATAAATTGTTACAATAGCAGTTGAAAAATATTAAAAATACATAGGCACAATTTTTTTTTAAAAGCATTTAAAGTTCAAATTTTGACAAAATTTATCAAATTTACGGCAAACCTGTGGAAATTTTTGCATCACCAAATAGTGGTTCACAATTTTATAATTATAAACGTATATTTCCAATTGTTTTGATGGCACTGATAGACGCAAATTGTAAATTTATTGCCGTAGATTTAGGTTCTTACGGGAAGAACAGTGACGGTGGAAATTTTATAAATTCAAATTTTGGAAAAGCTATAGAAATGGAAAAGTTTAATGTACCGAAAGAAAGAAACCTTCCAGAAACTCAATGTTCAGCGCCTCATGTAATTGTTGGAGATGAGGCGTTTTCGTTGAAGACATATCTTCTTAGACCTCTACCCTGGTTCTACGATAAATGGAGATATAGAAAAACAAATATTCAATTACAGACTGTCAAGAGCTCGCATTTGGACATTTGGTACAAAAATTTCGAATTTATTTTATAAGTATAAATTTATTGCCTAAAAATGTAGATAATGTTATTTTACCGATGTGTATTTTACATAATTACATCAAAGAAAACGATTTGATGGTTCAACATTTAGACCCTGTCGAAATTGAACCTAACTGGGGAAATTTACCACGGTAAGGAGGAAATGCCCACAACTCTGCATTTCTTGTACGTGATACATACAAACAATTTTTTAATTCGGAGAGTGGATCATTGTCATGATAAATGGAAAAATGTGTGTGAATAACAATATAATATATACAAATATTTACACATTTATATACATTTTCATTTAAAGTACCTTTGTATTTTATAAATTGTAATTTATAATATATTTAGATTTCTGACTTATTAATACTTAATGATATAATAATAAATAAAATTTATATTCAAATTAAGATGTAAACATACCTGGTGTTTTCAATTTTGTTCCAATTATTGACCATATTAAATCTTTGTGTTTATTATCGCTGTAATTTATGTGCGCCATATTGTATATTTCTTCATACAGGCAAACTTCTCCGATTAAAATTTTATCATTCATAATTAGATATTATGAATTAGATTAAAATATATAATAATTATAATATAATAATATTATTAATATATATTATATATAATATTATAATATATTATAATAGGTATTACACGTGACTTGCTCAAACAACGCGAAACAAATAAATATTTGTCGTGGAAGAAACATTCATTCGTTCACACCATTCGAACGGACAAGAACGAACAGTCACCAGCACCAGTGTTGCCAAAAGCCAAAAGGCCTTCGTCCGTATATATTATATCAAATTACCGTACAGGACCGTACCATAGATAATACATATGTATTATCCTTCAACCATATAAACCAAGTTTATAAACTAGTTTATATGGTCGAAGGTATTAACTATGGACCGTACGTAACCATTTTATCAAATTACCGTACAAGATTGTAAGTTAATTAATTTCATCGTGATAAATTCGTAGTTATGTGATAACATTCACGTAATATTTATATTCAGTTCGAGTTTAACATCAAAATCAAAATATTATGTCAGTCCGTACTCCATGTTATATTCTAATACTTACTCTATATCACGTCCGCGATTCAAAATATATCTAAGGTGTATCTTTATTTGTGATCATGGCTATAATAGTCTATATTCACTATTCAGATACACTATTAGTCTATTCAGTCTATTGATACTAGTGCCTATAGCTGTACTCATAACACTCTGTTGCTCGATGTGATAGGAAATATTGCAAGTGAATGAGGTGGCATATGTGATTAAAATAGATCAAAAGGTAAATCAAATATCAAAAATTAGTGTAATTACAACTTTTTAATAAGTATAAAGTTATATTTAATAGTTAACAAAAAATAAAAAATAAAATATTAAGATGTATAATTTCCAAATTCTACTACTATTAGTTTTATTTAGTATTATAGGGTAAAGTATTATTATTTACCAATTAATTGATATGGTAAAAACCTAACGCTTAAAGTGTAATATCTAAAAATAATTCAAGAATTCAGAATAATGTCTTCATATCGGTAAATATAATTACCGTATTTTTACGTGTTTTTGACAGGTCCGTTCGTAGACTGTACGGACGGCCAAATTACCGTACCACCCCAACTGGGACCGTATGGCTGGCAACACTGACCGGCACGTCAAACAAAAGTTTTCGATAAACATTGACGTTTTGTGCCTTTGACGGTACGTGACGGTGCCGGTCAATGTAAACACTGTAGTATTTATAGATAACAACATATTTTGACGTGACGTTGACGTTCCATATAGTAGTGATGGTAAACTGCTATTTTTTTTTTTTTTGTAACATCTGATAATGTTATTGCTATTTTAAAATAGCAGCTATTGCTATTTTGTAATAACAGCTGATAATATATTATATAATGCTTATCATTAATTTTAAATTTTATATTTTAATAGCAGCTTATGTATATTATACAAAATAGCAGTCTATTAGATCATTATATATATATATATATATTGATATCTAATATCTGAGCCTACGATAAGCGTCGATAACACGCGCATTATCAATTATCACATGTCACAAATATATAGAATAAACCTTAGATCATATACAAATTGTATATGATCTAAAGAATAAACTTATTATATCTGTGAATTACATCTTGCCAGCCGCCAAGATGCTACTGCTATTTTTCATATTATTTTGAGTGTTCTAACTTCTAATATAATAGCAGCTTTAAAACAGTGTAGGAAACTAGGAAAACATAAAAACCAAAAATCAAAATTTAGCAATCACTGCTATTGTTGACACTGAATAGCAGTAGGCGAATGCTATTGTAAAATAGCAGTGCTTTTATAACTGCTACTGCTATTTCTTACCAACACTACCGTATAGTGTGAATTAACCTTAAACCTGTCGGACTTCAATTTCACTGAAACGGCGACCATCGTCGACATTACTAAAATAGTGTTTCCATCGAAATAACTATTTATAAGTTTTATATTTTGTGATCTTAAATTTATAATAATAAATATAGAAAACGCTAAAACATATTTTCAATAAAAATAAAAATATTTCTATTCATACTTTCTATACAGCTAAACGTGGGGCTCAGGGCGAAAGCCCAGTTAGCTCTGTCCTAGGGACGATTCTGACTACAGAACACTAGCTTTTGCTTATATTAATATTAAAACATCATATCGAGTGCTAAGTTTCTACATTCATAATTATGAAATTAAATTATTTAACGTTAAAATGGTTTAAGTCTTATATTTTAGGATTTTCAAAAATAAAATAACGGTAGGTAAAAACAGATAATACTTTAATATAATCACAGATTACATGAAACATTTAATACATACAATCTGTGATAGAATGTTAATTTAAAATGATATTTATTTTTTATTTTTATGTTATTTTAAATTAAATTTTTTAATTTAGTTTTTTTTTTTTTAGACTAACTAAAGTTAGTTGTCTTTAAGTATTAAGTTGGTCACATGGCCATTTTCGTTTGAGGCGACGGATTGGGTTATCTGGTAGTGAGAGATAGGAGAGAGTAGATATGAAAAGGTTAGGATGATTAATCGTATTTTTATGAAATTTTTTGTTGTGGTTTGATGCTAGTTCGGAGATAGTTGAAATTTTTAGATCCTTATGCAGAGTGCAATTGCTGACATACCAGGGAGAATTGGTTAAGAGTCGGACATTGATGCATTGCAAAGCTTGAAATTTATTTAAGTTAGAGTTTTTAGAGGTTCCCCATATTTGTTTAACATAGGTCATTGCAGGTCGAATAATTTGTCTGTATATGAGAAGTTTATTGTTGAGCGGTTAGATCGCAGGAGCTGTTTGAATTTATGGAGTTTTAGATTGAGGGAAGATCTTTTGTTTTTTATGTGGGTTGCCCAAGTTAGTCTTTTTTCTGGATCAGTGGTGGTCAAACGGTGGGGGGGGGGGTGAGGGGGATAGCTCCCCCCATGACCTTTTTTTAAACATTTATAATTCATCCATATTATACATAATATAATATAGGTATTCATCTATTTTCTATTTATAAAAATAAATATACTGTACTTATTAGTTATTATACAGTCTCTAGGCTCGAATAAAATTAACAGTTTAAACATAAAACACTAAAATATTAATTGAAACAAACTTTTTAGATTTTTATCATTTCCTTTATAGTTTATTTATAAGCAATTTAAATTTAGTACTTAACGCTTAACATAATATATTATATTATTATATGAATTGTGTAATTATATTATTTTAGAGTCGTTTCAATGGTTTAACCACTATGGTTGTTCATCGTGAGGTTGTCAATATAACTGTAGACGAAGTACTGGACGAATTGGCAAAAAAACTAGAAAAATAGATATAATAATATAAATATCATTAATAATATCATTAATATAATATAATTTCCATGTTTAAAAATAAAGATTTTTATAGGTATATAGTGTTTGTTAAAAAATCTGCTACATCCCCCCCTGACAAAATCATTTGACCACCACTGGTCTAAATGAAGTCCAAGGTATTTTACGGAGTTTTGTGTTTGAATTATTTTGTTATTTGGTATTATTGGTTGAATTTTTTTAAGACCAAGAGCAAATGTAATGAATGTTGAATTTATTTTCGTTAATTTTCATTCTCCATTTGAGGAACCAATGTTGTAGAATTGCTAGATCAGGGGTTACCAAATGGCGGCCCGCGAATGTATTTTAACCGGCCCGCAGACTGAGAGAAAAATCCAATAATTTAATACGTACTTATTATCAAGCGCGACTGTTACAGTCGAAATGTTGCTGGTAATTTCTTATCTTTGTACATTATTAGGTTTTTTCGGCTGCAACAAATATTATACTAGCTGTGAAGAATATCTTCAGCCAATATCAACACGTCAGTCCGTCAGTTATCGGTGAGACGGTGGTGTCCGCTGCGACGTAATTTTTATTCGTCCGTTCCGTTTTATTTATTAATTTTCGTAATTAAATAATATATTATTCTTTGTTTTAATTTGACTATGGATAGAAAAAGAAGAAAAATAGAAAATGAAAATAGACAGTTTTGTCCTGATTGGATGGACTTGTATTGTTTTATTTTACCAGATCAAGAGGCAGAATCCTTTATAACTCAATAAATAACTCCAACATAAAAATAATACCACCCTCTAACCCCACCTATTGGCCAACACATCAAAATCGCCGCCCAGATATCCTCGATATCGTCATCGCCAGAGTACCAAGTAATTCCATTACTATTATCTCCAACACAAATGACCTGTCATCCGACCACACACCAGTCATACTCGACCTCGAAATTCCCTGTTCAAACTCCTCCACAAATCCTCAAAATCTTGGAAAAATAGATTGGCCAACTTTCCAACAACTCATCGATACTCGTACACAACTCAAACCTTCCTTAAAATCAAGCGAAGACATTGATAATACTATCCAAAAGCTCACTTCAGATATCCAAGAATGTACACACTTAGCAACAACACTAACCACAATTCACCCCAATAACCTACTTCCAAATCATATAAAATATCTTCTCCGAGAAAAACGAAAAGCAAGATCCCGTTGGCAAAGGCACAAATACCCCATCGACAAACATACTTACAACCAACTAAATAACAAACTTAGGAAAGCACTCCAACAACACAACTCCGTCACTTATCAACAATATATCCAAAACTTAACAACTCATAACTTCTGTCTTTGGAAAACGACAAAAAAAATCCTAAAAACTGTCTCAACTTCATCTCCCCTCCGTAAAGAAGATAATTCATGGGTGGTCTCTGACATAGAAAAAGCAAACCTATTTGGCCAACATCTATCCCAAACTTTCACTCCACATGACATAACTCTAAATCCCACTCAAAGTCAAATTGTCTCACATTCCTTAGAGTCTGCATTACCCGTCTCACTCCCAGCTAAGCACACAAGCCCTGGTGAAATCGAATTTATTATTAAAAAACTCCACAACAGAAAAGCCCCCCGGGTTTGATCGAATTACAAATTGTACTGCCAAAAACTTACCCAAAAAAGTAATCATATTACTTTCCTATATTTATAACGCAATGCTGCGTTTATCCTATTACCCCCTAACCTGGAAATTTTCAGAGATAATAATGATTCCAAAACCCAACAAACCTCCCGAAAAAGTAACTTCTTATCGCCCTATAAGTTTACTCCCTACATTATCTAAAGTATTCGAAAAAATCCTATTAAAGAGGCTTATTCCACTAGCTGTTACGGCAAAAGTTATCCCCGACACTCAATTTGGATTCAGACCCAATCACTCTACCATTCACCAACTCCATAGAGTAGTTGACACCATCTCAGTTTCTCTAGAGAAAAAACACTACTGCGCTGCCGTCTTTTTAGACGTTGCACAAGCGTTTGATAGAGTCTGGTTTGATGGCCTACTTTTCAAACTTAAAAAATTTCTGCCTGCCCCATACTTCCTTTTGATTAAATCATATTTGAGCGATCGTACTTTTGTCGTACGCCAGAACTCGAGCCACTCAAACTACTTTAACATCTTAGCCGGAGTTCCCCAAGGCAGCGATATTGCTCCCTTCTTATACAATATCTTTACGCATGACATTCCTAAAACTTCCTTCACCGAACTCGGTTCCTACGCGGGTGATACAGCAATTGTGGCCTGCAATGAAAACCCAATCACTGTTTCTAGTATGTTACAAAGACACCTCAACATAATTAACCTCTGGACAAAAAGATGGAAGATCAAAATTAATGAATCCAAGTCCTCCTTCATTACATTCACCCTAAAAAAAGGCTTTTGCCCCTCAGTCACAATGAACAACATCTCAATTCCCTCCTACTCAGAAGTTAAATATCATGGTCTCATCCTCGACAGTAAACTTACCTGGAATCCTCACCTAAAAGCCAAACGAAAAGCCCTTAATACCCGACTCCACCTCCTAAGACCATTACTTAAATCTAAAATGAATATAAATACCAAACTACTAATCTATAAGTCCTTACTCAGGCCATTATGGACTTATGGCATTCACTTATGGGGAGCCGCTAAACCCTCAAACACCCGTACAATCCAAGCATTCCAATCAATATGCCTTCGCCTAGTCACATCTGCACCCTGGTATTTAACCAACAATAACCTCCACAAAGATCTTAAAATCCAAAATCTTAACCAAATCTCAAAACTATACTACACCAGACTTCACAACAAACTTCAACAACATACAAATCCACTAATCTCTAAATTATCAACGAAAACACTCCCTAATGACCCGCGCCGTAGACTTAAAAGGCAATGGTGTAGAGATCTTCTTCTATAGTAAGTAAGCTTAATAAGTGCTGGAGGTCGTAAACAGGTAACACCTCCAAACCAAAAAAAAAAAAAAAAATGTTTATATATATATATTTTTTCTTCATTGTTATTCTGTCATTTATAGGGTGTTACCACTGGGTATCCTCCCTAATCTCATGAATCATGTTATCTGTTTTATTTTTTTTTTGTCACTTATCAAACCTACTTATTATACAAAAAAAATTATATGTATAGATTGTAGATTTCTTCAATAAAAAAAAAAAAAAAAAAATTTACCAGATAGAGTAGGTGCCTTACCTGTTTGTTTGATTTGTAATCAAACAATGGCTGTTATGAAAGTGTTTAATATCAAACGTCATTATGAGACACACAAGTCATTTGCCGAAAAATTCCCATTGGGTACTGGCCTTCGTAAAATAAAAATTGAAAATCTAAAAATGAAATATAAATCGGCAACTCAAATTTTGAGCCATACAATGACTGAACAACAGAAATGTGCACAGGCATCTTTACAAATGTCGTGGATACTCGGTAAACATATGAAGCCATTTACAGATGCTGATATTTTTAAAGAATGTATGCTTCAATCTGTAAATGTTCTGTTTGAAAATAAAAAGGAAATTGTCGAAACTTTTCGTCATATCCCAATAATATCAGCATCCACTAACACGAGAAATACTGAAGTACTGGCCAAAGATTATCACAATCAGTTGAAACAAGATCCATCTACTGTTGATTTTTATTCTATATAGCCTTGGATGAATCTTGTGATATAACAGATACATCTCAGCTAATAATTCACGTGAGATACTTGAGCAATATCAGTGGGACATTTTACGAAGAGTTATTGACACTTTTGTCGTTATCAGGGACCAGCAAAGGAAATTATTTGTACAATGCTGTAGTATTATATTTTGAAACAGAAAATTTAAATTTAAAAAAAATTAACTCCGTTACAACCGATGGTGCACCAGCGATGATTGGCGCTCATCAAGGCTTTGTTCAAAGATTAAGAAATGACCCTAAATGCAACTCTGATCTTTTATCGTACCATTGCATCATTCATCAAAGCATCCTTTGCTGCAAACTGGATCTGTGTTCGGAAAAAATTATGAAAACAGTAATGAGTATTGTTAATTTTATACGTGCAAAATCTTCACTCCAGCACAGACTATTTAAGACACTTCTTCAAGAAAGTGATACTCAGTTTGACAATTTATTACTTCATAATAATGTGAGATGGCTGAGCAAAGGAAATGTTTTGCAAAGGTTTTTTAACTTACTGAATGAAATTGAACTATTTTTAATTCAGAGTACATATTTGTCTGTCAAAGACTATCACGAATTTATCAGTGATAACAGTAACATAGCAACTATTGCGTTTTTGACAGATATATTTCAACACATAAATTCGTTCAACTTGAAACTTCAAGGTAATCAGAAACTAATTTGCCATTTAGTATCTGAGGTAAATTGTTTTTGCAGAAAAATTGATTTTTTCTTACAAGATGTTGGTAATGAACGTTTACATTTTCCTTACTTGAAAAAAGTTGTTGATGAAAATCACGAGATTGATATCACAAATTTTACGAAGTTTTTGGAAAGTTTAAAAACTGAATCCGAAAGACGCTTTGCTGATTTCAGAAAAATCAAAAACGTTGTACAATTATTGAACAGTAGTTTTACTCTGCAGCCTGATGGTGAATAGATTAACGAAGCTGAAAATGTAAAACATTCACATTTAAATTTTTTTTTTTTGGCCGCATACAGAGACGGGAGCAACGATGAGACATAATCTATGTCCAATGTTACTCATATTATTCTAGTTATGTTTATTAAATAATTTCATTTTTACAAATTATATTTCTTCTAATTTTTGTTCAAAATATATTTAATAATATATAGTCTTAACTTTCTTACGACACATGAGTAATGTGACCGGGAATTGATTTTCTTTATTTCTTTTAGCATAAGAATCCCTTTAGCAGTGAAATGTGTGATCGAGAAGCCGATTTACTCGTAGATTAAAATGGACAACCAGTGTCAACTACCTTCGCGAATGTCTATATTGTTTTTATTCCAGTAGTACATGTTGAGATCATGGGGTATACTTTTCATATCTGGGTCCCGATCAAAAGGCTCAAATAAGTGGCTGATCGGGTTCCGAGAATACAGTGGGGCTGATTATTATAATTACAATTATGCAAGGGGTGATCGTTGGCAATAATCGGAATAACTCAAATAAGTTTTCGTCAATATGCCAACGCATGGATTAACGCACTGAATGGATTAACGAAGCTGAAAATAATTTCAAATTAAACAGAGTACATCTTCCAATGGAAATAATTGAATTTCAATCAGATGATGTCCTAAAAAATTTGTATAATGAAAAATATTCAAAAACTGAAATTGATTTTACATATGATGAATTTTGATTGAAATATGTATCTGAAAAGAAATACTTTACGTTGAAATTATTGACAATGAAAATGTGTACAATGTTTGGCTCCACGTACGTCTGTGAGTCTGCTTTTTCAAAAATGAATTATATTAAAAACAAATTCCGATCCCGACTCACCAATGAACACCTTGAAATGATGATGAAGATAGCTACCACAAACCATAACCCCTACTTAAAGCAGCTAGTTGAAAGCAAGATCTGCCATTTTTCTCATTAAAAATATTAATTAATAATTGTTTCGTATATTTATTTAATTTAATTATATTTCCATTAGTTTTAGTTACATAATAATTAATAAGTGTATATAATTTTTTTTTTTTAGAAATAAATTATTTTTGACCAACCGGCATATTATAATAAATATTATGTACTTTGAATTTTTCATGGCCTGCGAGAATTTTCCGAATTCTTAATGTGGCCCAAGGAAAATATTAATTGGTGACCCCTGTGCTAGATGTTCTTGGAGGTGATTTGTGAAATCTATTAATTTAGTTAAAATTTAATTCTGTTGATGTGGTTATCTTATTCTGTGATTTGGTATAATTTGTTCATTTATATTCTTTTTTTGATAAGCCGAATGATAACAGTTCTTTATTTGAAATAGATTGTATGAAATTATTTACTGAACTACAACGGTCTATTGTTATTAATTACTCCTATATTTGTCATAGTTTTCAAATTAATCGACTATATTATAAAAAATTAAATGGAATATATAAATTAATATTTGGTCGATAAAACAATGACAGAAATGGAGCAAGCCCAACAGATTTTGCTAGAACTTGAAGCTGCTGGCAGTGTGATGCTTGTGAGTTTCTTTCAGTTTAATTTTTTGTAATCTACCCATATAAATTTAGTTTTAATTTACATTAGAATTTAGGTTAGATAAAGAACATACAATGTATCAAACTATTAGAATTTCTAATAAAAATTTGTTAAAATATAATATTTCATTATATTCATAATGTATATATAAACATATATAATTGACCAATTGTGGATAGCTATTAATTATTAATAAAACAATTATCTAATAATATTATAACAAATGAGCAATTTTTATTATTAAAATAAATGTAGTTGAATTACAAATGTTGATATTATTTATGTATATGTATATTCATAAGTGGAACTAGAACTTACATATTAGGACGCTATAAGTAGGAGATAACACAAACCCGCAAGGGCTATGCCCATACAAACCCATCTACTAATTTACTTACAGACAAAATTTGTCACTACTCAGTTCTTTAAGTTCAATTTAAATTTAAGCAATAATATAAAAAAACGCAATTTTGTAAACCAAATTTTGATTTTAGATTTTTCTAAGTAAAGCAAAAGCTTTAATATACAGAATAATAAGAATTTTCAAACTTAATCATTATTTTGAGTATGAAAATTTTAAATATAGTCAATTAGATTTTATCTTTATCTCAAACACAAAATTCAGAGATTCATTATTTTTAATCTGAGAAGGCTATACAAATATTTAGGGGGGTTAAGCTTTTTCCTTTTTGTACCTATGTATGTACCTATAATATGTATGTATTTTATGTTTTTAGGCATCGCCTTCACTTGTCACTAATGAACAACGTAATGCTGCCGAAACAGTATTTATGAATTTCCGCAAAACCAATATGCCTTATTCAATATGTCGATATATTCTTGGTAAAATTTGTTGAATTTATATATCCAAAATTAAGTTAAATAATCGAGGATAAGTTTTAGTTTAAGTTATTAAAATAATTGTATAATTATTATATTTGAAAATGGGTTAAAAGAAAACATAAAAACTCATTTTCAGAAAATGTTGAACAAATTATATGCTGTTGAGTGCTGTCAATTCAATGGTTCTTGTATTGAAAATTAGGGAGATAGGTGTTTTAAATAATAACTCAACTTTAAGTTAAATGCTATTGTAAAATATTATAAGTTTAAACATTAATAATTATTCTAAATAATTTTTAAATCTAAAACATTAATTTTTTAATTAAGTAAACTGGTGTGAAGGTGCTTTTGAAAACCGAACTAAAACATATCTGAATATGGATCTGTTCTGAATCCCCTTATGTACCCCGTTTTCTTGAAAACTATTTTTCGTTCCTTCCCTCTTTCCTGTTAACATAGTATTTGGCTAATAATGTATAACTCCATATATGGAGTTATTTTATGACAATCTAAGACATGAATTGTGTCTTGTAAGCCCAATTAATTATTTTATACATATATCCTAATTACTTTATATTATGTGCTCATATATATCCTTATATGGTACTTTCCCATGTGCTTATATAACCCTCCACGCAATTATAATAGTATGGGTCTTTATTTACGTATGTCCATAACAATACATACTAATTTGCTTTTTAATATTGTTGTAAGGTAAGGTTTTACATTTTTATACAAATTACTAACCTATTAATAAAAGTATCAAGGATAGGTCATCATATATTGTAGGCTATTATTCTCTGTCCCTCAGATTAAAGTCGTATCTCTATTAAGAGTGCCACACATAGTGTTGTTTGAGATACTGAACAAAGATAACAGGTGTAACGAGTGGTTCTTTCATCCATTGTTAAAAATGTCTTTACAAACTATAAATGAAAGTTAAATTAATTACTTTATTATCATCATATACTATTATCTACACAAAGCAAGTAGTTCACAACTTTGGGCTGAATGCCTCTCCTAATATATGTAAACTCCAACGCTCTCGTCCCCATTGTAGTTTAAAATAGCATACTTATAATTGTATAATTTATTTTGTAAATATTGTATAACTTTTTTGTATATTGTAAACATACATTTTACTATATTTTTAACAGATATAAAAATTAAAAAGCCAAAAAAATTTTATACTCTTTATTTTTATAACCATTGAAAGAAAAAGTCATTCATAAGTTGGAAAAATGTAGATTTAACTATTTATGCATATTCGCATTAAAGATATGTATATTTCAACGTTCCCTAATTTCAAAATAATAATTTTCTATCAATTTTCACTAACACTATTGTTTTGTTTTTAAAATGTAAAAATAAAATTATTAAAAAAAAAAATGCACATATTATGCGTCCTTCAAAAAAGGAATGTTTTGTTAAAATGTTTTTGTGAAATTATGATATAAAAGCTATTGATGATATTGATTATGTGAATTTAGTTTTATATTTGTAGATTGCAGTAAAGTAGATTTTGTTTTATTTGAAACTGCTGGTACATTAAGAGATGCACTTATTAGAGATTGGTTATTGCTATCACAGGACCAAAAAAATGAACTTAGGCAGTATTTATTCCAATTCATTATGCGTGATGGTAATATAGCTGCTTTTGTAAGAGAACGAATACTACAGGTAATCAAAGTTATGAATATTTTCATTTATTTTCTTTGTCTATTATTATTAAAAATATTATAAAAAATATCTAAAACATTATAAATTCCTCTTTTAATTAATATATTATAATATTAAAATTTACCTGGGCTCATATTTAAGTATATAAGTAAAAATATTTTATTAACCCATTAACGATTATTATTAATGAAAATACATGTTCCTATTAAATTGAATAGGTGATTGCAATTATGATTAAAAGAGGAAGTGTTGAAGATGGTGGCCAAGAAAGAAGTAATATTTTGGATGAAGTAGAAAAACTAATTTTTAATGGTGATTTAAGAAAGGTATAATAACTATAAATTAATTAATTAATTCATATTAACAAAATAAATGTATATAATTAATAAAATAACTGTGATAAACTGTCATTTTGTAACAGTTTTCATTATTTTAATTTTGTATTATTAACATTTAGTGCAAGTATTATATAAATATATATATATATATATATGTACAGTGGCGTGCCGAGATAAAAAAATGTTTGATGCCAATTGCAAAGTCTAGTTTACCACCCACCCATCCATATTTAAATTCATCTCATTCAGAACTCATATATCAATATTTCTCTACTTAAATATGTACGATAATTATGTGATTTACATATTATTATCCAAAAACTACCCACCCCTTATTAACTTGATGCCTGGGCTTCATTTAGACCTATATTCGGCATGCCACTGTACTGTGTATATATATATATATATATTACAGTTAAAACCTGAAACTCTACAAAACTAGTTTTAACCAGGACTTCAAAATTGATACTAATTTTAAAATACAATTTTTTAATAAAAGTCAATCAGAAATAAGTATTATTATTATTATTTGTTTTGACAAGGCAAACTATCATGGCATTTAGAGTTATATGTTGTTTATCATGGTATAATTTTTGAAAATAAATTAAGATAACTTCGACCAGCCGGCATCAAATATCAACTATCATACAATGTACCTAACAATGGTATTAATATAAAATTCTGTAATGACTAAGTATCTTGCTTCAATATTCATGTGGAATAAATCGCTCCTTATGTAAAAAAAAAAACATTTTATGTAACTCTAAATGCCATAATAGTTTGCATTTTTAAAACAAATAATAAAAATTAAACTTATTTTAAATTTACTTTGGTTACAAAATTGTATTTAAAAACTAGTAATCAATGTATAATCAATGATATAATATATTAAATATATATATATTTAGAATTGAAAATTAATGTAAGACAATTGATAGTTATTAATACATTTAAGTATTAAAAAAATGATTTACTAAATTTTATTTCATTTATAAATACATAATTATTACACATATTGATAATTACATAATTATATTATTCATTTTTAATTACAGCAAATTTTAGGTTGTTCTATAGTTTTAGCACTAATGCAAGAATATTCTACCACTGTTAAATCTACAGATGTGGGATTAACTTGGGAATCTCATTATTCTGCCAAAAAAGAATTCGAGGTAAAATTGTAGATTTTTTTATAATTGATTATTATTAATTTAAATTATTAATTAAAATGTTATAAATATAAATTATTTTAGGCTAGAGACTTAAGACGTATTTTTATATTTAGTACACATGCATTGAATGAAATACAAAAACTTTCCCACCAATTATCACCTGATGTATTAACTGTTCTTAAACATTTATTGAATATATGTGAATCTGTTCTAGTGTGGGGTTTTATTTCTAAAACTAATATCCTTTTTATCATTATTGTACTAAATTAAATTATATGTGTTTTAGAAATGTAAAAATAATTTTTGTTTTCATTTTCATTTAGAAAATAGTAAAGAAAAAATTTGCTCTTACCTGTATGCTCTTATAAAATATTACAGGTGAGTAAGAACACAAAATTAAATTAACTATTCTCATAACTATTCTTATAGTTAGATTTGTTGATTTAATTTTGTGTTCTTATTAAAAGATACTCAATGTAAGTTCCACATTTTATGCCTACTTTCATTATATTAAAAATCAGTAAATTTTATATTTATATAATTTTCTTAACCAAAAAATACTGCCCAAATATTTAATTGGAATGTTTGAGGGAATATATAACTCTGAAAATAGCCCTACTTTGAAGCTTGGATCAGATTGGAAGGAAATAATAACAAATCCAAGCACTATTGATTTATATTTTCATGTAAGTATTGATTTTATAAAATATACTTTTGATAAAAAGTGAATGATGTATCTATAATATTATTAATATTATTAGATTTATTGGATTGTAAGGGATAACCCTCAATTTTCACATCATTGTTTGAATTGTCTTGTACAATTATCTTCTATAAATGGAAATATATGGACGGACATTAGTGAACGTATGAACTATATGAAAAACTATCTTGAGAATTTTATTAAATTAGTATCTACGTAAGTTAATGCTTATTTGATATTTTTATTTTTAGTTAGTTAAAGTCCATATTATTAACTTATTTCAGAGTAAAAATTTTAGATCGTGAATCAATTGGAATTTCTACTATCATAAAAAGAATAATTAATGGTTATAACCCTTCAGGTTTTAGTCAATTTCCATCAGATCTTGTTAAACAATTTTTAGAAAATACAACTTTACTTACTTGTCAGTTCGCCGAAGGTGCTGCAAGTGAAGAAAAAGTATATTCTTATGATAAAACTAATTTTATTATTATGACTATTATTATTTTTCCTGTAGCTGTGTCAAGACGATCAAATGTTTTTTGAAGCATTCAATAATATCTTACGTCCGTGGGTATCTATTATTGCAAACAGTAATCAATCTTTTCCAGAAGAGTTATGTAAAAATGCATCTATTCAAATTTTTAATACTTATTTAAAATGTCATATATCACCACCATATGGTACAAAGACTTCAATTGATGTTGAATTTAATGAGAATGAAGAAGAAGATCGTATCGCCAATAAAGAACAACTTCAATACATTGGAATATTTGGTAGACTTGTAAGTTTACAGTTACTTTAATTTAATATATTTGAATTTTATTGTAATTTATTTAATTTTCTAAAATATTTGAATTTTAGATTCCAGAACATACTTTACCTCTTTTAGTAAATTTAATAGAAGGTGAAATTAAAAACATGCGAACAATAATTGAACATGTACATAGTGGAAATTGTCAATGGTCTGAATCATTTCAGCAAAAAATTAATACTATTCATGAAAACATTCATTGGATGTTTCTTATAGCTGGTAATATTTTATAGCTTGTGCTAATAATACAATATAAACTGAACAAATTAAAAATTATTTTTTAGGCCATATACTTACCGTAGATAGTGAGGGAGAACCTAGTATGATTCCTTCAGAAATAATGCATCATAGTATTAAGCAAAGTAAAAAAGTCAACATTGATATGACTTTGAAATTTCTTAATAACCAAATGTTAGTTATGGATATACCTGGGTCAGAAGAATCTGTGGATGATGTTATCAAGTATATTGATTCATTTAAATTAATATATTTTTATCTTGTATTGTAATAATTATTTTATTTGTTTAGATTAGTATCTATTGCCTTTCATTTATGTGAATTAGAAAAAAAATTAATAGAAGCAAAAATGGAAAGTCTTTGCAGTCCATTGTTAAGTGGTACTATAGTATGGTTCTTACGTGAGTTTTCTCAAGCTTATTTGATGCCTAACGAGACCTATTATAATGAGGTAAATCATGATTGATAAATATTTTTATTATTTTTTTATTAGTTAACAATTAAATAATAATTTTTAGCTTAGTATGCCATTATTGCAAGCATTTGGTCAACATACTGAAGCTGCTAATTGGGTTTTAAATTATTTGCTTAATAAAGTTGAACATAACATTAGATCGCCTTTGTATGTTGATGTAAGTCTTATTGAAGATACAATTGGATTGTTGATGTCTTTGGTAGACATGAGACACAAGTATGTTTTATAATTTGTTTACTTCTTATTGTAATATTGCGTGCCGTTGTCCAATCTTAATGTTGTTGAAGTTTTAGGAAAAATATTCCAAATAAAAATACTCAAATATAATTTAACTGTTTATTTAAGAATTCTTCTAAGTACAAAAACACTATTTAAAAATGATCTGGCGTGAAGGTGCTTGCGACTACTCGTATAAACTACATCTGAATATTGGTCTATTCAGGACTCCCTTATATACCCCGCTTCTCATAGTTGACCCGAACCTAGTGAATGCTAAATCACTCGTCCTATGCAATTCACCTTGGCATTTAGATTGATGCCTTTCTATAATATTTTAATTACTATGTACTAATTGTCTTCTGTACCATATAATTAGTAAGGACCTACATCTGTAATATATCATACTGATGTCTTTCTGTAATAGTTATTTTTAATGTCACACTTTGAAATGTAGCCACACGATTCATATATTATGTGTGCTTGTGTTACCCTCTAATTAAATTAAAATTCCTTTCTATTCATACGAATACGAATATTATATTAATAATAATCATTTCCCGATTTCTATTATTTATAAACTACATGGTCCCATCCATGTCTTATGAGTCGTAAGGACCTATATTTATGTATGTCCGCAACAGTAATATTTCTAATAAAAATGTAAATTTAGTTATTCTTTTACGTAATTATAATTCAACTGTTTATGGGATATAATTATAATATTTTTTAATAGTGGTTGATTTATTTTATTGAATTAGTTGAAATGGGTTTATAAAAAAAAAAACTTATTAATTTAATTTATTAATTTAATTGTAATTTTAATTTGTATGTTTAAATTGACACCATTTTTTGCTTTATGATATTTATATTTATAGTCTTTATATGTTAATGATTTTTTAATACTTATACATGTAATGTGTTTCTTATGTTTACCTTGTTCAAGATAATTTTTAAATTATAATGATTCATCATCTCTTTTAATTTTAAACAAAGAATTTAAAAAACATTTAGAACCAGTAACATTCAACAGCAATATTTTACTTAACTTCTATACTTCACTAGATTTCTATAAATTCAGTTTTAATATGAAAAAAAATTATATTAATTTTAGAGCTGAAATTGTTATCAATTGTGAAGGATTTTGGAAATTATTTCAACTTCAAGATCATATTCGCAAAGACCAATTAGTTCCAGAAGTAAAAGAAGGATTATTCAAAGCATTTTCTTTAGCTGCAGATGCCTTTATTGGAAAAGATAAGCAAAATGAGTATTGGTTACGCGTGAGTAGAATTTATTGTAGTCCATTAAACTGTAGAGCATATTATCTTATTAAATTAAAAATAAATTTATTAAACATAGTTTTTTCTGGCTTATAATAGTTAAATTATTTAAGAAGAATTATAGTTTAAATTTTGATTGTTCCACTTTAAGGTTATATAATTTGTGGAAAATTTGTTTCCATAATGATAATAAACATATAACCGTATATATATTTCTATAGTTGTAGGGTAAATAATACATTTTTTTACCGGTGATAAGGTTATGTACCTTATACCCACATAAACCTTCCAAAATTGGCTACTACCAGTGTTATTATAAACAATTTCTTAGGTAGTACTTAAACTATAAATATCAAAAATGTGTAATTTTCTAACATTTTTTTTTTTTTTAACCAGGTCATTACTCCAACAATAGACAAATTTAGAAAGATTATAACTGATGACAATTTTAGAAAAGTATACAATGATGATGAAGTCAGATTAGAAATAATGGATATACTTCATAAATGTATTGGTCTGGCTAGTGGTGCAGTTATAAATACTACATCAACTATTTTTTCTATTTTGCATCCAACACTGAACGATTTTTCTGCATTAATTGGCCTATATCATAATTATCAAAATATTGTCCACTTAATTATTCTCCTATTTGTTGAATTTTCCAAGAAAATGTTGTGTTTTCTTAGAATGGTAAGAATATATATTTTTTTATTGAATTTGAATAATTATTAGAGGTGTTTCAAACATTTATTCATTGAACCAAATCAAATACTCAATCATTGCATTAAAAAATAAAAAATAAAAAAAACTTAAAACTCAAATATTTAGAAGCTAATATTTTTATACTACATATCTATTTTTATTATTAATAAATTAAATTAAAATATTAAATTATTTTACAGATATCTAAACTTCAAAATATTATATTTAAAATTATCAATTTACATTTTTTGATGAAATTTGATTTCATTTGATGAAGTCTGAGTTTGATTCAATCACAAAAATTGGATTTGTGACATCTCATTAATTAAATAATTTTTAAATTAAAAAATATTGCCTTCTTAATAAAAGATAAATTAATTTGCGTAAGTTAAATTAATTATTGATTAATAAAATGTCCTAGTAATACAACAATAAAACTAAAATTATGCAATTATTTTACTAAATTATAATTGATTTCATTATGAAATATTTATTTTATATTAATGAAGAATGTAATTTTTTTATATATTATAGGAAGAAAGTGATAGATTTTACATGTCATGTTATCAAATGGTGGATATGTATGCTCGCTACAATATTAATCGAGTATCTTTGGATTCTGATGCGGAAGATCAATGTTATCAAGATCTTTTTATATTTTTAGAACTTTTAACTCATATAATGTCTAAGGAGGTTTTAGATTTAAGTTCTGATGGTAAACATTTATTTAAAAAAACATTGTGGATTATGTTATTAATAATTGTTAATTCAACATATATTTATTTGGCAGTAGGAAAAAGCATTACTGGGAAAACTGCTGGAGATGTTTGTGTTTATGGACTTCAAGTAATTTTGCCATTGATGACCATAGACCTCTTAAAATTGCCTGGTTTATGTTCACAATACTACAAAGTAAATTATTTTTAAAGTACATAAAAGTATAATGTTTATAATTAAAATTTATTTTAATATCTAAATTATGTAAAATGTCTTGGTTTCTTTAAAATGTTTTCCTAAGTTCTATAAATTAATTCCCTAATAAAATTTAATATTGCATTAATCATGATTTTATAAGTACTTTAATGTTACTATCATTATTACATTTTTAGTAGTTTTAAAAATTTAGTTATCTAATGTAGCGATTCCCAAAGTATGTATCACGAAACCTAACGGTTCCGCAAGATGTATGTATGTGAATATTGGGAATAGTAATTGTAATAAACAATAATCATGAACTATCTTTAAAACATTTTTTGGAGTATTGGTTTTTCAATGAACAAATGAAAAATTGCTGTTAAATTGAAGTTAGAAATATTGGGATTCCACGAAACATTAATTGTTTCTTAAGGGTTCTATGGTTGTAATCGTTTGGGAATCGCTGATCTAGTACATTTACTTAGACTAATATTTGTCGAAAATTTTTTAAATTTATATAAAATGATTACTTGTTTTACTGTAACTTCCATTTCTCCTACTAATTATTTTAACTAGTAGAATCATATTAACGCTATTTCTGTTATTTTATTTATTAATATTAAATGAAAAACAAATTTATTGTGTATTATATTTATATATACTAGATTAAATAATAATTTGTATTATTTGCAATATAGTTTACTGGATATATGTGTGAAATGGTACCATTGAAATTATGTATTGAAAGTGTGGAAATATTTAAGGGTGTTTTAACTACAATTGAACTAGGGCTGACTATGTTTGGGCATGAAATCACTTCATTGTGTACTGATTTTTTACAATCAGCTGCTTCATTTTTATATCGACAGGAAAACTGTATTATGCATGAAGCATATCATTTATTAAAACCATTTTTAAAAGTAATGTATTTTGTCTTAAAAATTATATATACAAACATTTTTGTAGTTGAATTTATACTACTTATTTACTAATATTTTGATAAATATTTTAATTAAATGGTTTTGTAGTTTTTAATGGAACTTATACTGTCCTGTCAAATAAGTTCTGATGCACTTTCAAGTACTGGTCACGCACTTTATACATTAATATGTTGTTATCCAGTAAGTATTCTAAGAATTTTATGTTTTAGAAGTAGTATATTTTTAAAAATCAGACTTTCTTTAATAGCTATATTGTTGCACAAAGTGAAATATAATTAACGGCTAAAGCAATAATAGCTTTTTAGTAATAGTGATATTTATAAAATAAATTAAAATATTTTTATTAATTTAAAAGCAAATATATTTTAATAAAATGTTTACATTAAATTATAATTTTTTTTTCGCTATTCTACCTTCTTAAAGTGTAACATGTGTTGATGAAGAATTTATGTATTAAATATATTTATGTGTTGAAGTATCAAACAGATAAATATATATTTGTTATAATAATAATTATTTATTTATTTTTATAAAAAAAATAATAAATAACAAATACTCCAAAGGGTAGGAATACAGTAATATTTACATAAAAGTAATAAGTATTTATTATTAAATAAAAATATATATTAATTAAGTTATAAATACATGTTTTTAATGTGATGCAAGAATCAAAAAACAAATCAAATTTTTTTTAATTTGGTTGTTAATAGGAAATACACTAAATTATTAGTAAAATAGTTTAGTTTTGACTGAGATAACAAAATGAGGATTATATCTTGGTCAAGTTTTTTATAATAATTTAGAATGATTGATTTCTCCATTCAAGATTTTATATACAGAAATAGAAACAAAGACAATTTTTCTGGACGTTTTCTAGTTTATTAATTAAATGTATTTAAACAGGATTTCATAATATCATACTGAATTTGAGTGATGATCTTATTAATAAATAGTATAATACTTTCAAATATAAAAGATCATTCGAATTGTAGTATGTATATTTGATGAACCCTAAACCATGAAAATTCTTCCCATATATTTTATTTATATATGCATTAAAGAATAAATCAGCTGTTAGGAAAATGTTCAGATATTATAATTGATTAACAAAATGGAGTGATTTGCCATTTATTTAATAAAATTGAATTTAGAGTAGTTGAATGAAATGTGAACACACTGAGAGGTGTTAAGAAACACCATTAATTGAATATGTTAATGAAAATTGATCTAAATCGAAATTATAAGGAAATTATACTGCCAAAATAAATAGATAGGCTTGTGTATTTTCATAACATCCGAAATATAAAAATTTACAAGTGTTGAAACATTTATTCAGGTTATTTATAAATAACAAGAAGAGCAATGAGAATAAATAGTCACCTTGTAAAACCCCTGACGTAATATTTATAATATTTGAAATAAAATTACTGTGAGTGTTCACTTAAATGTAAAGAAAACCATGACAATAACGAAATTCTTAAGTTTGATTGATGTAATTTAGGTAGAAGTAAACCATGATCCTTTTTTAAAGGTTTTTTAGAAGTTAATGTAAATAGCATCTACCTGTCCTCTTAAAGCAACGGTTTCTACCAATTAGGAATAAAATATTAGTGTATAAGTCAATGTGGATTTAACTCGATGGAAATTGTGTTGCTCATTAAATATTAAAACAAACGTAATTTTTAAAATATCACGTTTTCATAACTGAATATATAAAAATATCTAGAGTTTATGAAATGTTATAAAGAAACTAATGTACTATAATATCTTAATACTAATAAATTATAATCTAGATTTTAAACAATACAATTATTTTTTTTTTTTTAGGAAGAATTTCAGCAAATATCAATGCAACTGATCAATAATCAAACTGATGTGCAAATAATTGATCGACTTCGAAATGCTTTTACTTTGTTGACTACCAATATAGATTTTAACGGACAACATTTAATGAAATGCCGTTTTAAAAATAATTTTGATAGCTTTACTACAAACATACGTGGGTTCCTATTTGTTAAATAATAGAACTTATTATTATTTCATAATTATATGTTTGTCTTAAAGTTTTATTTTTATATTTTAACATTATGGTTAAAATAAAAAATAAGTAATTCAAAAATTAAATATTATATTATCATTTACATAAAATTTTGTTTCTTCCACAAAAACTTAATTGAAATGATTAGTTATCATATTGTTTTATAAGATGTACAAATTAAAATTAAGTCAATTATATGAATTCATTAACATGTTAACTATAAGAATTAGATTATTATTATTATTTTTTTTTTATTCTAAACTTTTTTAAATTAACAGTTAACATCTATGTTAATGTGTGAATAATGAAATACAAATATTATATACATTTTTTTAAAGTTGTTTAATATAACTAAAACTTAATAAAGTTGTATTGTGTATAATATTTGATGGCTTTATCATTCACAATTATATATTGTTCTTTAAAAAACCTTAAAGATGGATAAGGAATCATCCCTATATTTCCAAATGTCCCTTTTTAATAATTAGAAATTAAAACTATTTTGAATCATATACATTCATTTTCTTTTATAATTTTTTTTTTTAATGGAAATCCCTTGATTAGTCCTTTTGTCGAGTATTACGCTTTTGGTATGAACAGTGTTAGGTATATTCAATCTTTATTGTAGACACTCTTTTTAGTGTGAAGATGATTTGTACATATATGCGTATCCAGACTTTTTTAGCAGATTGTGCACAGTTAAAATATACAAATGCAATACTGCTTAGTTACCAAAAGGGAAAGAAAATACAATCTTTACATGTTGAAAAAATCATTATTACCTACCTTATACTATATCTATAATATAAAAATGAATCGCTGAATGTTTTGCAAATCTCGAGAGCAGCTGAACCGATTTCGCTAATTCTTTTTTTATAATATTCCTTGAAGTACGAGAATGGTTCTTACGGAGAGAAAAATTTAAAAAATTCCCTGAAAAAGTGTAAAAACAACACTTTTCTATATTCCCATACAAAAGATTAAAAAAAAAGTAAAATTAAAAGTCAATTAAAACTATTGACATATAAAATGGATTTAATTGTTAAAAATTGTGTGTTCGGTGAGACACGCTGTTGGATGTAATCTGTAGAGTGGCAGAAATGTGGATTGCGGCATGCACACATTTTGATTTAGTTGGTTTAAAAAATTAGGCTAAATGAAGTTGATGAAGTCATATCAACTGAAATCCCTAATGAACAAATAGATCCTGGCTTGCATGAAGTAGTTATCAAAAACATGATACATGGTCCAAGTGTAATACCGTTTTAAAAATGCACCGTATATGGTAAATTTTTAAAGCGTTATCCACGGACATTAATATCGGAAATAATTACTGGAAATAATGGTTATCCACTCTATCGTCGGCAATTACTAGAAGATGGAATGGCAAAGGTTTTGCAGCAATGTAAGCTAATTGTGTGGGATGAATGCACAATGGCGCATAAAAAATCTTTAGAGGCTTTAGATAGAACTTTAAAAGATTTACGGAACAACCAAAACCAATTTGGTGGCGCAATGATTTTATTATCAGGAGATTTTCGGCAAACATTGCCAGTGGTTTCACGTTCAACCTAAGCTGATGAACTGAATGCATATTTAAAGCCCTTCAATTTGTAGAAATAGGTCAAGGTATTACATTTAAGTAAGAATATGCGTATCATGTTGCAAAATGATCAATCTGGAGATATATTCTTTAAATAACTCATTGATATTGGTAATGACAAATTTCCTATAGATGTGCTGACTGGCTGCACCACCTTTCCTGAGAGTTTTTTTCAGTTAACGCAATCAAAAACTAAACTCATCCAAAAAGTGTTTCCAAATATTGCTCAAAATTACTTATTCTATGATTGGTTGAACGAACGAGCTATACTGGTTGCCAAAAACACTGATTAAAATGAATTAAATTTCAAAATTCAAAATGACAATCCTGGCGAAAAGGTGAAGATGTTTTGATATCCCGAATCCCAATGATTCCAACTGACGTACCATTCAAGTTTAAACGACTTCAGTTTCCAGTAGGTACGGCTTGCTTTCGCTATGACTATAAATAAATCCCAGGGGCAGTCATTAAGTGTTTGTGGTATTAATCTAGAAAATCCATATTTCTCCTATGGTCAATTGTATGTTGCCTGTTCCTGTGTTGGAAAACCATCTGCTCTGTTTGTTTAGGGGCCAGATAATCAAACAAAAAATATCGTGTACCATAAAGTTTTACAATAAAAACTAAACTTAATTTAGAATAGGTAAAAATAAAATGAAATATAATAAGTAGGTATCATAATAAGAAATCTGAAATTGTAATTTTCTTTGTCGTTTTATTAGTGACTATTAAAAGAATTTTAAGTGTTTTATAATTTTTATTTTTTGGCATAATGTAATTGTTGACTTATCAATTTTCTTTTTTCTTTTCTTATCTTACTAGCTGACCCGGTGTCCCAAATAGCAGAATAAGTATTAAAAAAAAAAAATAAAAAATTAAAGAATCGATTGTTAGGCGGTATGAAGTTCGCTGGGTCAGATAGTATACCAATATAATAAAAAAAATTTTAATTCTTATTAATAACTTGATTGCCATGAGATCCAAATTTGAGTCTTAACAGAATTTCTTAAAATGTCACGGTATATTAAAAAAAATATTGAACTTCACAAAATTGCCAAGATACTAAATTTCATTAAAAATTTTTGAAACTTTGCTGAGTATAAAAAATAATAATAAATAAACAAAAAAATAATGTTTTCAACTTGGTCAGTGTTTATAATATAAAAAAAAACTTAAGAACCTATTAAAAAATAAAAAAATAAATAATAAAATAACAACAAAATAAAATTTTCAACTTGAATATTACTAATATAATTATAAAAAAAACTTAATAACCTTTAAACATTTTTAAAGTATAAATAATTAAAGCAAGCACCTTTTATCTTAGGAACTTTTGTATAGAATGTATTAAAATGTTACACATATTATTTAGTTATGTGCTTGTGTAAACTAAAAAAATAATTTTGACACAAATACTTGTCACACATAATACATTTAGTCTGTACCTTAAGTGTATGTGATAGAGCATATGTCCTTCCTTTCCTTTCATTTTCAGTTCTTTCATATTTTGATAACAAATACAATAACTACTTCACCCACATTTTTCTAGTTTATGACTTATAGCACATGGAGAATTTACAATTGTTGTTTTCATAATTAAAGCTGATACTAATGAAGGCCGAAAATATGTAGTGGTAGTATAGCTTTAGTGGTTAGATTGAACAAACATGCAGCATTTACCACACCAGTATCAAGTAGTATATCCATTAAAACTTTCCTGTACCATTTCATCGACCTACACAAAGGATTTGAATAAGATGCCTTTTGGTTAGACAAGTCTATGCAGCCTTTTCCTTTATTGTACATCATTATTGTTTCTGGTTTTTGAGAAATGGTATTCCTTTTTACTATGTCTACCATTCGATTGGTTATTTTTGTACTGCACATGTATATATCTCGTTTATCCTTCCACTTCATAACCATTACGTTTGAGTCGCTGCTTAGTGAAAAACATTTACCTTTTTGTAATTTATAATTTATCACTTCCTTTGGGTTTGATTTACGATTTGATCTTAATGTTCCAATATAATAAGTTTTTCTATTTTCCAGTAGTTCTGCCAATTCAACACTTGTATACCAATTATAAATTATCAGTGTCTTACCAAAATCCAAATAAGGGTCAATTAAGTATATTACAATCTTTGTTGACACATTTGTTTCTGGAACAGCTTCTTTTCTAGCATAAAACTTCGTACTTATTGTATAATTAGATGGCATGCATAATTTAAAAAACAATACCATATTTAAGGCGTTTGTTTTTTAAATATTGTTTAAAAAATAGCCTGCCAGTAAAAGGAATCATTGACTCATCTATACACAAAATATCTTTTGGGCTCATACAATTATTGGAATTAGTCATTACATCATCAACAATTCTTCCCAATTTATATAATCCATTATTTGTATCACTGTATCACTTGTCTCATTGTTAGAATAATGGATCATTGTTGACAAAATTTGAAATCGGTTTCCATTCATAATTTTTCCAAAGTTGGTAGAAAATAAGAGGAATTACTCATAAGAGGAAATACTCACAATACATACCAATTTCAGGCAGTTGAACCAAACCCATCCACAAAACTAATCCTAACCAATTGTGTATCTCTTATAGATCTATATTGGTCCACTTTAGAGCTCTTAAAACACGTGTCACAGAATTCACGTGTACACGTGAAATACATGTTTATCCAAAATATATATCCATTTTTACAATGGTAAAATTAGTAATTTTATGTTATACACTTGAAGTTTTAATAAAATATTAATAGTACAGTATTAAATTTAGGATATACGTTTTTATTTTGAATTTTACACGTGACACGTGACACGTGAATTCACGGAATTCACGTGTATTAAGAGCTCTAGTCCACTTAGATAATTTGCTTTTAGTTGAAAAATTTGATGAATTTAATTTTTGACCTGTACCTATATAAATTGGTTTCTTTGACCATTTTTAGAATTATTTTGTCATCTATGATCAACTTAAAAAAATCAAATGGAGTACCTTCTAATAAAACATCAATTAAGTCTGTATTTAGTCCTACATCTTCATAATCAGGATTGAATATATAGTTGTTTATTTTATCATCATTAGCACGTCATACTCGAGAAGTTGAAGGTAAGGGTATAGCTGGATTTTGTTTTGGTCGTTCTTTAGGTTTTTGTACAGCTGGTGTTTGAACAATTGGTATAATATCATTATTATCAACTGATGATGATTCTGAATTTGTATATAAAAAAATAATAAAATAAAATGTTTATTCAGTAGCGTATACATAACATAACATAGTTATTTTATTATCATAATATTTGTATAGTTGTATATTTTAAGTTCAAAGCGTAATAATGAAACTACTAATATATTACACGTCATCAATAATAAAAAAAGATAAAATTTTTTTATTTGAACCAAGACTCCCCGCCACTCCCCTCGTATGTACGCCACTGGTCTTCAGTAATACGTCATTGAAAAACGTTTATATTTTTGTGAAGATAAGCGTTAAACCTAAATTATATTTTATGATTCTTTAATCTGTAATCTATTGGGCCATAGATAATCCGAAGGATTAAATAACAAAAATTAAGGCGACCTTAAATATTTTCGTAACCGCTCCATAAGAGCAGCCAGTACGGGGCCTGGTTTCACCAATAACTTCTTTTACTATATTTTTAACACAAGTTGCCATTCTTTTTCAAACTTCATTTATATTTCCCTCAACATTTCACACAGCTTTTTTTTTATTTTATTTATAAACTATCCTTTTATTTGTCTATTAATTTGCACCACCGAATTCTCAATTCCTTTCCAATTTTCCTTTTTTTACTTATTAAATTCACCTTTTTTTCACTACACCATATCGCCATTATCATCAACCTATGTTGTGTTATTAGAGTCTCTCCAGGAATCACTTTACTCTTTTTATACTGTCTCATTTCCGCATAAAATAATGTGCGATCTATTTCTTACACTCTTATAAGTTATAAATATGTATAATGCTCTTCTCGTTTCCTTAAATATGTATTGATTATTGTAAGCTCATACGATGATGCAAAGTCCAAAACTTTTTCTGCAATCTTATTTCTCTCGTCAAAATCATACCCTCCATGCACTCTTTCATACTCTACTTTCTCAATACCTACTTGCTGATTTCTGAATAGTCACGTGTTAATTTTACGACGCGACATTTGTGTATTGTGCTCTATTCAATTTAATGTATTTTAACAAAACGCGTCGTAAATAACTAGCGTAAAATAATGTCTGCGTGTTGCCACTTCTCATATATTACTAGGAGAGACTAGCCTCCTTCTAAAAATTTACCCCTAGTTGCGTCACTGCAACAAATATTAACTTTTCTCCTATTCAATACTTCCGCTAATTCTCTACTTCTACCTGTTAACGTTTCAACATTTCATGTGCCTATTCTCACTTTATACCTATATCTCATACATAGACGCAGATTTAACCAGGAGCGCAATGGTGATGTCCCTACACCGTTGACATTATCCGTGTTGGGTAGACCTGAACACATAAGTGGTGAACCAGCTACTACATTGGCTGTGCGGCTGACATCACACACTTTATCAAATAGGCCTCCTCCACCTCTAATTATGATACTTTCTCTCATTTGTAGTCTCCACGCATACCCGAGGTGGGACAAACTGCTAAAGTTTTAAATAAGTTTTTATAAGATAGAGTATAGAAGTAAAATAGACTATAGATTACTAGAGACTAGCAAATTACTAGCAAACAGGAAAGAAATAACAAATACTTGAAAAATTGTTTGACTGAGTACATGAAGATTACGAGAATTTAATATTTAAAGAAAGTTAGCTTCAAATTTGCAAATCAGTGGTTTTAAATTTTATTTATTATATTTTATTATTTATATTTCGTACACCTAAGTGATGACTAGTTGGCAACCAAATCAACGATTTAAAATTATATATATTTTATCGTTTTTTTTTTTTTTTTTTTTTTTTTTTAACACAAATTAACGCACATTGTAAACCAAGCCCACTTTAAAGTTGACAGTCCTAAGCTTGTAAAATTGAGAAGGGAAATGTGCGTAATTAAATGGCAACTAATTCGGCTATACCTAATAAAATACCTTTTTTAAACGGGAACTAATTCGGCACGTGGGGTTGGAGCTCGGGAACCAATTCGGTACCAGCCGTTTTGGATTCCTCATACTATTTGATAATACTTTACGCCAGATCAGTGGCGGCTCGTGTCTAGGTGTGCAGGTGTGCGCACATCACATAGATTATCATAGATATAAAAGTAAAGTTTAATTTAAATTTAATTGAATTATCTGTTAAATTATATTTATTTTATTATACAAAATAAATTTTACAAACATTTCATAATCACTTAAACTCGAAAATACTACTTATAAAATTTGGTAAGTTATGTAATATACACACATCATCTGGTGTGCAGCTCAGTCAGAACACTTTCTGCCTGTGAAATACTCTCCGTCGTCGGTGGAGAGGGGGTTGGCGCATAAAGGTCGATTCACACTATACGGAACATCAACGTCACGTCACAGACCGGCAACGTCACGTCAAAATATGTTACTATGTATTTATATCGCAATGTTCACATACACCGTCATCAATACGTAACGTCACCGTCATGAAGCGGCAACGTTTATCGAAAACAATATTTTGACGTGACGCAACCGGTCCGTTCTTGTCCGTTCGGATAGTATGAATGTGACAACTAAACGTTTCCGTCAAATTTAAATAATTATATTTTAGTTATTTTTTCATTATTTTATCATGGATGATGAAAATTTAATAGAAAAAGTTCGTTTATATGATGAACTTTACAATATGGCACATAAAAAGTACAGTGATAATCATCATAAAGATATAATATGGATGAAAATAGGAAAAGAATTGAACACAACAGGTACGTGTAACTTTATTATTATAATTAATTACTAATTATAATGATGATATATATATTTTTATATAATATAATAAATAATGATAATAAGTAATAATAGGTATTATTATTTTAATATAATTACTATACGAATTTGTCTTTTTGCCATGCCAATGATCCAATATCACTATTAAAAAAAGTTTTGTATGTTTCACGTACATAAAATGCAGAATTGTTTGCATTTCCTCCTCGCCTTGGTAGATTTGACCAGTTAGGTTCTCCTTTGATAGGGTCGAAATACTGTGCCATCAGTATATTGTCTTTGATATAGTTATGTAAAATACATGTCGTTAATATTACTTTATCTACGTTCTCAGGGGATAAATTTATGCTTCTAAAATAAATTCTAAATTTTTGTACCAAATTTCAAAAAGCATTTTCCGATACACGACGAGCTCGAGACAATCTATAATTGAATACTTGTTTTTCGATGTCCCCGTTTATCGCTGAGCCTGGATATGGTCTAAGCAAATAAGGTTTTAAGGGAAATGCCTCATCTCCAACAATTACAAAAGGCGCTGGAGATTGAGTTCCAGGTAGGTTTCTATCTTTCGGTACGTTTAATTTATTCTTCTCAAGGGCTTTTCCAAAACTAGAGTTCGCGAAAATTTCACCGTCACTATTCTTCCCATAAGCACCTACATCGACGGCAATGAATTCATAATTCGCATCCATTAGTACCATCAAAACAATTGAAAATGTCCGTTTATAATTGTAAAACTGTGAGCCACTATTAGGAGCGAAAATTTCCACATGTTTTCCGTCAAGCGCTCCCAAACAATTTGGAAAGTTCCATATATTCCAGAAATCATTCACAATTTTTTCCCAGTCTTCCTCTTTTGGTGGTAGCATTACTTCAACTAATAACTTATCTATTATGGCTACACAGACATCTTTAATTATATTATGAACTGTAGAATGCCCCAAGCGAAAACTGAATGCAATGGTTTGAAATGAGTCACCAGTTGCTAAGAATCTAAATATAATATTTAGAATATAAACATTCAGTCAAAAAGCGACATCCAATTGCCACCTTTTTTTTATATTTATTTATTTTATTTATATTATATTATAGGGCAAGCATGTAAAAATCGATGGATCTCACTCAGAGATCAACTTAGGAAGGCAATAAAAAAGAAAAAAACAAAAAGTGTACAAGCAGCGGACATACAAAAAAAATGGAAGTATGAGGACTGCATGTCTTTTGTAATACCATTTTTTAAAGAACGAGAAACGTATTCTAACATATTATCTCTAGAAAGTGCTTGTGAAGAGTCAAATGACGAAAATATTTCCAATAAGAATGACAATACAACAAATAATGATGTTCTAAATGAGGATGAAGAAAGTGAAAAAGAAACTACGTTAAAACGTAAGGTTATGGAATCTCAAAAAAAAATGAAAATTTCAGCTTCATATTATTCTAAGAAAAAAAAAAATAATAAACCACAAACAGCATCATCTGTTTTGATGAAATATATATTGGGTAACGAGACAAATGATGAACCAAACGCAACATTTTATAAGCATCCAATCGACACATTTTTCCAAGGGCTGGCTGCTACTGTTAAAACATTTTCACCAGAATACCAACACATGGCAAAAAACAAAGTGTTTGGGATTGTGTCTGATTTAGAGTGGGCACAATTACAAAATAAATCAGCTAATCCTCAAATCCCACTATCAATAAATCCTTCAACATCATACTTTTGCTCTAACACTCAAGTGGCACCATCACAAAACACGATTCAATACATTCAAACACCAACACCGTCTCCTATTTCTAGACCATCATGATCAACATCAACTATTACTCAACATTTTTATGAAAACATTGATCCTACAAATGTTCAAAATATGTATTGACATTTTATTGTTTTGTTAAAAAACTGATCACTCAAGGTTTTATAATAACAGTAAAATATTATAATATGTGAAGTCAATATATAAATAAACAAGTAAAGTATATAACATTGTTTTATTTTATAAACGAATATTATTATATTCACCTTAAGCACACCATTAACTTTTCTTTAGCACTTTTAGCTTCTCGAAATGTTGTATTTTGTTTTGAGATTTGAAAATCGATTTTAGATAATAGAACATAAAATTGATGTTGTGACATTCTAAAATATCTGTAAAATGAAGTTTCTTCATTTTGTAAATCATTGAACAATGTATGATATTCCCCAAATTGCTTTCTTTTAATTAACATTTCTCGAACCCATGTTGTTCTACGTTTTTGGTGACAATTCTCTTCTTCCTCGTCAAAATAATTGCCATCATTGCTAATGTTTTTTGTTAAATTTTGGCATGATGAAATACTTATATAATAAATTGATAATCTATATTTTAATTTAAAATCACAAGACAACTAAAATAGTAGATAACAATTGTTTCAAAACACTAGGGTGGTACACTTCCGTTGACGCAACCTCAGTAAACTGCAATTATTCCTACAATTTGACGCTTACGTTTGACGTTTTGACATTTTGATGTGAATGTATAACACATTTGACGTGACGTTGCCGGTCTGTGACGTGACGTTGACGTTCCGTATAGTGTGAATCGACCTTAACACGCCACTATTATAGAATTTCGGAATATATTGGGTGGATGCAGTGGCGTTATTGTGGGGGGGGCAAGGGGGCAAGTGTCCCCTCTGACAATTTTTTGAGAGATAAAGGTATAATTTTGCCCCTCCCCCCAGATAATCCAACAGTACAAATAGCACCTTTTATTAATGAACTCTTATGGATATTATTTAACAATATTGGTACTTAGTACATGCTATCTACAATTTATGTTTACCTAAACCATAAAATGAGTTAAAAGACATGTAAAATCAAACAATTAGATAAAGTGTATAAAATATATACAATAAAAATATGTTTTAACTGGTGAGGGACAGGGGCAGATCTAGGGGGGGTTCAGGGGGTCAGCTGACCTACAGTTAATATTTGTTGACAAAATTGGCCTCTTGGAAATTTTTTTTTACTTTTTAGACCTTTTGGACTCTTGGACAGTTTGCTCATTGGAGTTACTTGAAAAATGAATGCCATGTATATTCAAAATTTAAAATTTTTCAATTCATAATTTATATTTTAAATTATATCGTTTTAGTAGAAAATTAAGTAAATCATATTTTATTTCGTACGTTTGTTGCGCTGATAAAATTAGATTATATTTATTAATCGTAAATATGTCATTATCGGTGGTATCACTAATTCTAAAATGTAATATAAATATACTTATACTTACACTTTTATGAGCATATTGTGTTTTTTTTTTACAAGGTATTCATTTCTAATTCAGTTTCATCCTCAATAAATGACCTCTTGAAATGGCTTGACCCACAGTTCCCAGATTCTGGATCCGCCCCTGGCGTGGGGCAGGGGTGTCAGGGTTTTGGTAATAATAAATCTATTATATTGTCCTCCTAGGTTTTTTCCCAGTTACGCCACTGGGTGGATGGACGATATAGATCCATTGAATTTTAATATACTATACTAATAAATACAACTAAATATAGTATATTATAAGATCAATGATAGATCATTATTGGTACAGAGGATCTATTTTTTAGATACCTATGATTTTAAAAGAAGATAGTAGGGAACTGGCATGAAGTTAATTTATTTTTTATTTTTTAATTTATATAGCCCTATATTGCACAAGCCCTCATGTTACACGGTTAAAGGCTTGTGCAATATATAGAAAAGACAATAAAAAAGAATTATAGGTTTTCAAGAGAAGTTGAAATTTAACCAGGAAGTAAGAAAAAACTATAAATCATTAGTAGATATTAATCTATTATAGTAATAGTAAGTAGATACATACCATGTGCAAATATTTATACATCGACATATGAGTAGGCTAGAATCATAAGTTACATGTTCTAGATATCACTTTTTTTTATAATTTTAAACTTTCAACTTAAAAAGATCTTTATTTTTTTATGATTTATACATTATGTGTATTTATAATGAAAAAAAAACAAGCAAGAAGATTTTGGTAAAAAATAATTTTTCTTCTTCTGAGCGCTGGCCACACTGTACCCACTATCCTTACCGCTGTTCCAAGAGCCGACGTTGGCGCGTGCGTGCGCAACGTGCAATTAGGGATAGCAAATTTTTTGTGAACATCGATGTATTGATGTATCGATTTATTTATTACGAAATATCAAAGGTGATAATATTGATAAATTAAAAAACCATTGGAGTCAAGAACTCGATGTATTTAGAAAAACATCAATGTTTTTTAAAAAAGCAAACTTTCATTTTATAGGAAAAAAATTATTATTCTTTGCCATAGCCCACAAGCTAAATTAATTATAAACATTTAAAATTTAAACATTTACAATCAACTCAATTTATTTATTTGTTTATTAGAAAGATTAAAAAAAACATTGTGTAAAAAAATTAAATTAAAATTAAATCAATAAAGTTCACAGTCAAATATAACACAATAAATTCGTAAGTTATAACAACATTTTTTATACATAATTAAAATTGAAAACAGTGTTGTCATTCATATCGAAGCCAAAATTGATCGGCCAAGTTATTTAAAAAAATCAATTTTGATACCGATTTTCCACATAACCGGTTTCATTTATTTATTTTTGGGAAATATTTTAGTTTATTTCTATAAATATAATTAGGTATTACAGAAATACAAGGCTGTTATATTATTTTTCTAGCGATAAGACTATATTAATTTGAATTAGGATTTGTTTTGATTTGTTTTATAACCAAGTTAATATAAATTATAATTATATGTATATCTATATTTTATTGTTTGCAAATGAAAAATTTTAAAAATATTTTGTGTAATATCCTTAAGCATCGGAGATAGGTAAAGCAAATATCAAAATTAAAACATCGGTAAACGTGACACATCGATGTAAAGTATCGAAACCTAAACATCGATGTTGAACATCGATTTTTTAGCTTAAAACATCGATGTTTTTTTGACATCCCTACGCGCAATACTTTACCGTACGGGCTGCCGCTGTTGTCAGCGTTGGAACATACGAGTTTTGCTGAATGTCAGTTGAACGTCTGCTGTGTTTTTCACGATCGAAGACGTCAGAATAACAACGGCGACATCATCTACAACTTTAACGGATCGCGTCCAGGTGCTGGCGACCACCGGAATGCCGTGTTGATCCAAGCGCCGCCGCCGCCGCCTTTTCTTATTCACGTCAATATTGTGCGATAAATCTGAGACGCAAAACATTCGCGGTAATCGTGTTTACGCGTTTGTAAAGTGAAACTACATAGTCGATATGGAGGCCGTCAAAGCGTTCACATTCGAGGTAAATGAAATAATTATTAGCATAGTCGAACAGCAAGTTTTCGTTGCTAGATTCTTGCCGTGCGCTTGTTTGTGGTGTCGTTCCTACGTTTTAATCCGAACAGATGGTCGATTGTATCCGGATTGATTAGAATGATAAAATTCTTTGCACGAGCCATGGTGTTTTACTCCTTATTTTCATAATCAATGGACGTCATCCTTCACTTACTTTTCCTCTTGGCCAAGTGTTCCAAAGATGACTGATTTATTTAATGAAAATGCCTTCTCTTCTTTTTCAGCTCTATTCCATTATGGAAATGAAGCCACCTATATCAAAAGCTAAGATGACTGCGATCACTCGTAACGCTATTAAAGCTATCAAACTGTATAAACATGTCGTCCAGTGTGTTGAGAAATTCATACAGAAGGTAAACATTATATTAGTGTTATATCACAAAATCAAAAATGTTTTTTTATATTTTCAACAGTGCAAACCTGAGTACAAGATTCCTGGTTTATATGTGATTGATTCAATAGTCAGGCAATCTCGACATCAGTTTGGAAACGACAAAGATGTATTTGCTCCTAGATTTGCTCGTAATCTTAGGACAACTTTTACTCATTTATTTGCTTGTCCTGAAGAAGATAAAGTATGTGGACAATTGTTGAAATCTTATCTAGTATATTAGTCATTTGTTTATTATTTTTTTAGAGTAAAGTTATACGAGTATTAAATTTGTGGCAAAAGAATGCTGTTTTCACCACTGACATTATTCAACCCATATTTGATTTGGCTGCCAATCCTGATTATAGTGAACATACACAAATAAACCCTTTATCCACAATTGATAACAGTCCAAAACTAAGTAATTTATTAAAAATAAATATTTTAAATTGTTATTTATAATTATATTAGATTAAGTAAATTTTATTATGTTGATTGTTAATATCTTTTGATCTGTCAATAACTTGGTATCAAAAGATAAGAAAATTAAGATGTTTCAAGTTATTTGTCCTGATTAGCATTACATTTATACTTTATTGATAATAATATAGATTATAGGCCTTATTATTTTTGCAAGAACCATTTAGGTATTAATGGAAATTGAACCCCTTGCATATGTATTGTAAGATATATGAGATTTATATTAGGAAATTAAACATCTAAGATTAATATTATTATTTCTAAATTAAAATAATTTAATTATCTTAAATTGAATACATAATTCAAATCAACACTACATATTAAGCTTTTTAAAAAGAAATAAGTTGTGTGAATAAGAGATGTGTGTATGGTATTGCTGTATTTTTCTATTAATTTTGAAACCATTGCTCTAGAAAAAATAACCCATCACTAGCCTGTATAGCCAAAATAGTGGCAGGGGTGAAATGTCCTGGATTGATTAACCAACATTAATTTAAAATCTAGTTGGTGCAACAAGAAGGGGAGCTCCACTGTACGTCGGACTAGCTTATTGCTCCGAAGTTGAGATATTTTGGCTGCAATGTAGTGGTGCTGGTTGTCCCTATGGTGACCCATTCTCATAGAATCAACCTCATGTAGGCTTGTACAATTGTGTTTTTTGAATAATGCCTCAAGTTAATAGAAAATATGCGTGCATAAAGCTTCAGCCAAAAAATATGATTCTTGTGTTCTTGAAAAAACAATTTTGATTGAAAGATGTTTAGTAGATCAGCTTATATTATGATAGTTGATGTTAGAAAAGAACTAATTTTTTTATTAAGGATGAGTTAAAAATAAAAAAAGAAACATTTTTTGGGAGCTATGTAAAATTTAAATACTATCCATTATTTAAATATTTTGTATTTCATAGATTTGTTTCACATTGATTAAAAAAAGGAAGTGAAACTTTTAGGTTAGATGAGATAAAAAATGGGTCAATGGTTTTACTGTCTTTATGATTAATATTTATAGGATAACAACTGAATAACTAATATTGTTTAATGAAAATTTGTTTAAATGTTTGATTTCTTAAATTTTTATTTTATAATGTTTATAAAACTTTTTTAGGACTTTCAAGTAAATTTTTATTTTTGCTACAAAGAAAACCTTATGAAAAATCTTGTATCGTTCAAGCCTTAAGTATTATAATTGTTATGAATTTTCAACTACAAAAAAGTAGCAGATTTTTGTGGTCTTTATCGTTTTGTCAAAAAAAAAATTTCTTTTATTAATAATATATATGTAGAAAAAACTTCATAGTAAATTTTCAAGACATTTTGTCACTTTAATATTCTATATTGATTATAAATAGCTTTGAAATATTTTTTTGTTGAAAATTATACCACATATAAAAATGATGATACAAGTAAATTCAGTATTCAGTTAAAATTACGATTGTTATATTTTGATTTACAATAAAAAGAAAGATATGATTTTGTTAAAAACCAATATGCTGTAAATGTTGCTATTTCTATTATAGCTCTGTTGTTAGTTTAGTATTAATTATATTGCCACAGATTTTTTTTATCTATAAATTTATACATTAATATGTATTAATCAAGATAAATTTGGAGATGCACTGATTAACTTTAATAAACAAATTTGATGTTTATAAACATCTAGTTTTATTATAACTGTTAGATAGTTAATCAAGATTAAAAGTCAATTTTCATTATATTTAATGCATTGTGATAGACTTATCTTTGTTGATGATATTTTGTTGTTTTCGAATTCACACAATTTAATGAACAACAAAATTCTCAACAATTTTGTTTTCTTGGTGGATATTTTTCATTGATGATATTGATTGTTAACTTTTTAAATATAATGTTTGACATTTTATAAGTTAATTTACTTAACATATAAATATCAATTTATCTAAAAAAATATTAACTAATTATAAATATTTTTTATTTTTTAAAAAAATTTATAATATAATAGTCTATGGTTTAAAAAATACATTAAAAAAATGAGCATGTACAATTTAAAATAGTACATTTGAATCAAATGTTTTTTATTATAGTTAATTTATTTAAGATATTAATTGGCGGGTCTTTGGAATAATAAACCAATCTTTAAGGTAAATTGATAATTTAATATTAAAAGATAAATTAGTAATTATTTTGGGTGTTTGGTTTATTCATTAAGTATAAATAATCTTGCATCATATTTATTTATTAAATTATTTAAACTTTCAATCCATCACACTGATATGTTATTTAACACTCATTGTAAATATTTGACAGTATTTTTTGGTTAAAAGTTTGTCATTTTGTGAAAAATAAATTTAAAACGTTTTTAATTTATCATTATATCTATTTAATAGGTGTCAAAACAGATCTTTTCAAAAGTCAAGAAAATACTCCAGTTAAAGAAGATATGTCTAAAAACTTTGATGCTTTGCAGGTAACAGTTAAATTAGTTACAAAGAGTAAACTTTGTTGTTATGAATGTAATTAATATATATTTATGAATTTAATTTACGATTTAGTCACAAAGCATAGATAATGATAATAAGCCTATAGATCCAGCTATCCTTGAACATATACAAGCTATTCAGTCATTGCTAAAAAAGCAACCAGGTCAATTATCTACATCACCTCAAGTAAAAAAATCTGATGGGGTAATTATTTTACTTAAACAATGGTTTTTCAATATTATGCTTATAAATATTTAATAAGAAATGCCATTTTAAACATAATTTATTTTAGGTAAAATTATTTGATAAAAAAATTCTTGATTATGATTATGGTGATGATGAAGAAGAAATGCTTAATCAATCTCCTGAGTTTCAACAACATCAGAATCAAAATACTGCCATCGAAGGACTTGACAGGTTTGTTTTATTTTAATTAAAATTTCAAATAAGATATGCCAATATATAAGAGCAGATTAATTATACTGCTATCAAATATTTGAGAAACTCAATTGTGACTTTTAAATATTAAAAACTACAAACCATGAAATTAATATTTAAAGCTTAATAGTTATTTAGGGCATTGGTATAGAAAATATGTATAATTTATAAATGATATTTCATATTGTTTAGAAAATATACATTCAAAAAAAGTACTTTTGATTATGTTTTACTAATGGTATATGTAATTAAATATCTAAAAATTGGTTTACATTTATTCACTTTATTTATTTACCATTTTTAAATTGTAGCAAAATATTCCACAATTTTAAGATACTATATAGCTACTGTAGATTATTTCAGAATTTGAAACCTACTATTACATTAAGACAAGAGACTTATACGCTTCAAAGGTTTGTATTCTAAAATTTTCTGTGAGAATCAATTTTTTTTTTTTTTAAGGTATTATATTATGTTGTATAAATATATGTATAAAAAAAACCACATGTTACAAAATAGGTTTTATTTAATTTAAATATGAATGTGTTGTCTTCTATGAAGTTTTAATATTTTTGTTGGATTTGTTGCTTTTTAATGATGATATTTCAAATAATGTATATTTTTTACTATCATTAAAATATTAAGGAATTGTGTTATGAAAATTAAATAAAAAGCATGTAAATGTTTTAATATTTTACTAGGCAAATTTTTATTTTAGGTACTTGTTCAACATCAATTTTTTAAATTTATATTTGAATTAAAATATAATTAAATATATATTCAAGTATCTACCAAAAATATATTGAATTGGTTATTTTTGAAATATTACAATTTAAAAAACATACCATATTTGCAGTTTGGTAATATTTACAGGATTATTTAATTTCATAATTTGAAAATTAGCTTTATGATATTTCATTAAGATCTTGATATTTATGTTTCTTATTAATTGTTATGCGCATACTTCGTGTTTGGATTGCATGAATTTTAAAAACTAATTGATAAAAAATGTTTCCATGAATTGGTTGATTATTATCCACTTGGGAGAAACTCAATGAAATAAATTGGTAATTTTTTAGATTTAAAATTAATTATTATTAATTATTTATGAGCATTAACTTTTAACTCATTTTTGTTATATTTATTATTGTATTATTGTTAAATAAATCAATATATTTAGACATTGTCAATAATTTAAATAAACATTTTTAATTATCAATAAGTAATTGAATTTCTTTGATTAGATAAATATTTTCAAGAATAGCATTAAATTCTAAAAAGAGTAATAAAATTGGTTATTATTGAATAATTTGTATAATATATAATTTATTCAATATACAGATTATATTATATTATATATATTTTTATCAAATGGTAGTCTTTTGGTATCATAATTTTAAAATTCATATTGATTTACATTTGTAAATTTATAAGATTTTTAATGAATATTATATACTTATTTTATCAAATCATCCAATTTTCAATAGGAAATTAGTGGCAATTATTCATTTGCATTTTCGATTTTGAACTGAATTCAGGTTTTTAGAGATATTTTCTATTGTTTTGTATTTTTTAAATTCAGCCTATTGAGTAACCCAGAAGTTCTGCGCACATTGCGCAATGTCGAAGGGCTAATGTCCACACAGTCTAAACAGCTGGCAGAGTTGGACAAGATTAAAGAAATGAGAAAAGAAGCGGAGTTCGACAAGCATCTTGCTCAGACTGTTCAGGTAAGATTACCAACAATAGTACATGTGTAGCTTTAGCCTATTATTATTAAGCTATTCTTTATGAAATTCAAAGAAACAATTTGTCAGTCCAAACACGAGTCCCTGTGCCTACTTTTGTTTAGTTGTTCCTCAAAAAAAAAAAAAAAAATTTCAGCGTTAACGAGACATCGAAAGGTAGGTTTATATAATGAACGAGTGATCCAGAGTCCGAGCAAATATTTCCAGCTCAGTAAGTACTTAGATTTAAGTTTTGATTCTACTAGATAATTATTTTGTTAATGATACATCATTTTAAATTATTTAAACTAATTATTTCAAGTATATAATTAAATAGAAAATTTTTATTTCAGAATCTACCATTTGCTTCAGAATGTGAATTAAAACCAGCTCCTATGGTTTCCCAAACTGTTAATATGTCAAATCCTTATGCTAATCAGTTGTATAATACACAAAATATGTACCAACAGCAACAACCTTTAATGACATTAGAAGCTCACCATAAACCTTTATCCCAAATAATGTATGTGACAGTTAAATTATTAACGCTATTTTTATTAGTTTATTACTGTAATATGTAAGATATAATTTTTAAATAATTTATAATAATTATGTAGCTCTTATGATGATCCAAATCAGTCTAAACCAGAAGTGATTGATTTAGATCACATAGCATCACCTCCTCATAATAAACGAGATTCAAGACGAGATGGTTATTCATCAAGTTCATCTCGAAAAAGATCTCCAAGGAAAAGTAGTCGTGAACGTCAACGTGAACGAGAAAAAGATCGCGAAAGAGATAGGGAGAGAAGAAAGAAATATTTACCTCCATTCAAAAAGAATCATTTAGCTGGTAGATAAATTATTTTTTAATTATAATATTTAATTTAATTTAATTTTAATCCCATTTATAGTTGTGAGCACTACTCTTTGGGTCGGTCATCTATCGAAACTCATTCACCAAGATGATTTATATGGATTATTTCAACCAATTGGTGATATTGTTTCATTAAATTTAATATCTCCTAGAGGGTGTGCCTTTTTGTGTATGAATCGAAGGCAAGATGCTGCTCGTATAATGAGTAAATATCAAGGGGAAAGATTACAAGGAAAACCCATGACGGTAATAATTGTTAATATGTATATGTATATTTATAAGTGTGTTTTTTTTATATAAAAGTATTAAATTTATTAAAACTGATATAATTGTTTTTTCAATACATTGGGAAAATTATTAATGTTTGAAAGTTATTAAGAAATCATGAATTATTTTTATGAACTTAACAAAATACATAATGAAATTATAAATGTTAATAAAGTGATCATAAGTAATCATTAAGTGATTTATAGATTCTGAGTGAAACAAGAAAGATATTTCTTACTTATTGATTTTACTTTGATGTAGGTTTTTTTTTTGTTTTTGTGTTTGTGTATACAATTTTGAACAGAAAAATTGCTCTGATTTACCATAGTACATTTTTAATAGAAAATGTTATTTAGTTGGTACTTAAAAAAAGGTTATTTTAAAAATTTTCCAATATTTTTCTTAATAATTATGAAAAACTGATGTAAAAATAAAAATATACAGCAAAATTTACAGCAGACTAGTTTTTAATAAAATCAAATTTTCAGTACGTGTACTATGATAGTGGTCTCAAACACGCGGCCTGCGATTAATATTTATTCAAAAATCTTGATTTTTTTTTTTTTTTATAAAATATTTTATATTTTGACAGTCTGGTACAAAATAAGAGATGTCAAGTTCCAAGTACTGCTTAAAATTAAAAATAAATAATAATAATTATTATTATTATTATTAAAAAAAAAATTGATATACAGTACAATATCAATTTTTTCATAATTATAATCAATAAATGAAATACATTTTGTCTTAATTTATTTTGTTTATTTTAGATTTAATATTAAAATGAGTAAAAAAAAAAAGATGTTTTCCCGTGAATCTTAGTTGTAAACATATAGCTCATTGGTAATTTGAGTTTGAGACCATTGTATTATGTCATGTATTGATATTAACCTAACTTAACTTTTTATTTTGCTTTTTGTCTCTTCAGTATCCTGAATCTATTAGCCATTTACTAAATTAATAAAAGATTATTATGTTCATTTATTTTTTTTAGATTGCTTGGGCTCCTGGTCAAGCAATGAAAGACAAAGAATGGAAAGATTATTGGGAAATTGATGATGGTGTTTCATACATACCATGGGAAAAATTAAACAAAGAAATAGATTATGATGAATTGGAAATTGGAGGGATGTTAGATGAAGATACAATGCCTGAATGGTTAAAAAGTAAGTGATATGTAAATATAATACAATCTTTGTTTAAAACTGACATTTTTGTATGATCAATTTTAACAAATAATTTTAATTTATTTAATATCTAGTCTAATATTTAATGTTTTATAGTGGTTACTTCATAGTTTTTGTTAAATCAGTTAAATTATTAAATTCCAATTTTTGTGAAACCCTGAATAATTCAGTTGTTGATAAAAGTAATTTTGAACTATACATTTTATACTCTTTGTTTTAAGACTAAATTTATTATAAACTATAAAATTGACTATATAATTTGGTACATAATTTTGGATTGTTAAAGTTGAAATACTCAATATATATTTGACATCACAATAATCTTGCAAATTAAATTTATGTATATATGTGACCAACGTAACCAAAGACCCGCACTTAAAACAATTAGTAATAGTATCATACTGGGTTTTTCTCTTTTAGCTCATTTAAAAATGTTGCGTACTTCTAAGAAAAATGAAAAAAAAGAAGAAGAAAAGTTAACTGAAGGAAATCAACAACCATTAACTGCATCTAATTTTTTTGATACACAAGGTGTGCAGTCACCTAGTGTTCAAATGCAAATGTCTCCAGCACAGAACAGTCAGCCTAATCAAATTAATTTCAATTTGCCACAGACAATGAGTATGCCTAATCCATTTGGAATCAACCCTAGTATGTTTACATTTTATACTTATTTTTGAATATTTTAAAATGCATTATATAAATATTATTTTCAGGACTAATTAATCCAATGATGAACCCAATAATGCCGGGCACCATGGCACCTATGAGTATGGGTCATCCTTCTATGATGATGATGAATAGAATGCCATCACCCTTTGGACCTCCACGTTAGTTATTAAAATTAATATTACTGAATATTTTTTTAATGACCATTATATTTTAGCAAATATGGCTATGATGGGAAATCCACAACAAATGACAATAACTAGTGATGCACCAAAATCACTAGGTGTTCCCACCGATATGATGATGTCTTTTCCTTTCGGAATAAATTTACCATCACAAGGTCAGCTCACTAAAAATTATTTCAATAAATTTAAATTGCTATATTTCATTGGGTTTTTTTTTTTTTTTTTAATGTTATTTTTTATTCTAGCTACTGCAATTTCTTCTGCTCAAACAATGATGGGAATGAATCCATCTACTGTAACATCTGGAACAAGTACTGCGCCTACTTTATCACATACAAATCAAAAGGATAATCTCATTGCAACAAATCCTCCAAATCAATTAGATCCATCAACTATTATGCAATTTAATTTACCTCCTCCTCCAACACTTCCAAATCTGTCTAATTTTTCACAAAATACTAATAGTTCTAATTTAGGAAATGAAAAGTATGATCCTAATACATTAGGGAACTCTGATCAGGAAGAGTCCAAAGACACTGATAGAAATAATGATAGAGAGGACCGAAATCGTGGACGGGATAATAGAAATCGTAGTCGTGACAGCAGAGAAAGAATTGATAGATTCAAAGATCGTGAAAATAAAAATGATCGTGGTCAAAGAGATGATTTGTCCCAAAGACTAGATCCAAGAAATCGTCTCAAAGGACCTGAACAAAGGGAAAGGAAGTCATCACGCTGGGGAGATAAGGTTAGTGAAGAAGTAAACAGTCAGAATAATGTTGGTCGTCTGTCTGTAAAGGAAGGATTGAGTATGGCACAGGCTCCTAATTTAGCACAAATTGATAATGTAAAAGATATTTTAATTCAAAATAATTCTCTGCACCAAATTCTTGAACATGTAATTCAAGATAACATGGGTAATCCACCATTTAAATCTCCTGGTATGTTTGGGCCAAATGGACCACTTCCAAACCAAATGTTCAATATGCCACCTCAAAGTTTTCAGCAAGGATTAGGACCAGGTAGATTAATAATTATTTAAATTTTTTTATTCTTTATTTGTTTGATTACTTTATATTTTGTTAAGATGGTCCAAGACCACCTTTGTTGGACAATGGAAATCTGAGAGGAAGAGGAGGATGGAATCGTGGAGGCCGTGGAGGTTTTAGAGGACGTAGTGGATACAACAATGGACCGAACTGGGATAATAATAATGTTCCTAATTGGGATAATAGCAGTGGACCTAATTGGGATAGTAATGCTCCTCCTCCAATTTGGCAAAATCAAAGTATAAATAGAGGAGGAATGATGGGAAGAGGTAATTTGAGACCACCATTAATGCAAAATGCAATGGGTCGTGGCCGAGGTACTAAGTACTAAATGAATGCATTTATTTTGTTAATATAATTTAATTCTTTATATATATTTTGTATGTGTTTTAGATAATTGGATGGACAATAATTCATCTGTTGGCAGAGGTGGTCGTGATTCAGATAATTGGGGTAATCGTGGTGGTGGAAGAGATATAGATAAATGGGGAGGTCGTGGTGGTAACCGCGATTCTGATGGATGGGGTGGTCGTGGTTCTAGACTTTCGCCATGGAGAGGTAATGGAAATCGACGACGGAATGATGACTGGGAAAATCCTAATCAAAAACGTTGGAGACGTGAAGAAAACTCTGAATATGATGAACAACAAAAAATATGGAAACGTGGAGCAGTGAATGATGAAGAAGAATGGCAAAATAATAAACAGGGATCACTGTGGTCAGCTGGCAAGAAAGATGAAGGAAATTATTCGAAATTCAAACCTCGCGAGAATAATGAAGACCGCCCTAGAAAGCCAAGTAAATGGGGTGATAGAGATTCTGATGATATTGTAAAAGAAGACCGATGGAACAGAAAATCTATATCTAAAGATGAATCTACCATAGACGAAGGTCCACATCAAACAAGTGCTCCAATGGACCTGGATAACTATGAAGGTGATTCTGTAGATAATATAGAACAATTACATGGAGACAAAGAACAAGAAAATTCATGCCAAAACCAAGATACTAGACAGCATGATGAATTTGAAAAAGAAGAGGAACAAAAAATAGAACCTCATTATGAATCTGGTAGTTTTAGTGATGTGGTGTTAATACATGATCAAGAAAGTGTTCAACAAAATGTTGATGAAAAAAATAATGTAGAACAAATAGAACATCAAGATTATCAAGATGGTTTCAGTAATAATTTGGAACAATTACCTCCACACAATAATATGGAAGAAATGCAACAGAATTCAGAAAGTCAACTCCAAAATGTGCAAGATAATGACTATCAAAAAAATACTCTTGATATTGATTCTAAACATGATTATGATCAAATGAGCCAAAATTATAGAGAACAAAATCAACAATTTGAAACTGAATGTAATAATACAACATATAATATTAAATGTCAAAATTATAACCAACCATATGATGAAGAATCATCGCAAAATTTAAATCGTCAAGAACAATCAGTTGACAATTTTGTGTCACAAACTAGTAATGAAACTGATGAAAGAAAGTACATAGAAGAAAAATCTCTAAATAACCTTTATTTTAATACAGATAATAAGTTGCCTTTAAATGAACCTTTTGAGATGGAACAACAAAACAATGACAATCTTCCTTCTGAAGAAATAGGAATTGCTTCAGCAGATGGTAATGAAGTGTCAGAAATTAATACAGTAGAATCTAATCAAAATTAAACCACATTGTACCTTTTTATTTGAGTTAACTATTATATATTCCATTTCATTGCGATCCTCTGAAAGACCTCATGGTTAATTTAAATATTGGGCCTCTCATTTTATGGAACATTTTTTACTTATCATTGAAGAATATAGAATATATTAATAATAAATAAAAATTTAATAAACGTTTATAAAAAGTGTTTAGTTGAATAATTCCAAAGCTAAAACCCCAATATTATTGTTAATTAAAAGGAAATATATTCATAGTATTATGAATGAAAGAGAGAGATTTTGCAATTACCTTATCATAAGTACCTGTTTGTTTTTCTTCTATATATGTTAAATATAACAAATTACCTAGTTTAAATTAAGTGGTTAAGATATATTGTAAATAACTTACAGTAATATTTTTCATTTTATTATGCTATATTCACTAAACACTTTTTTTATCTAAATTTGAACTTATTTTTGATTCTTCGTTAATTTGAAATTTGAATCCTTAATAAAAATTATATTATCACTTTAACTAGAGTCAAAAGTATTATTAATATTATAGGTGACAGAAATATTTCTCATGTTTTTATTGCGATGAAAGTAATACAATACTTTTAAAATACTAGTGTGTAAAAATATTTCTTTAATTTTGTAACTATTTTAGAATTGTTTAAAAAAACTGTAAAAAAATTAACATTTCATTTAAAAATGTATATATATATATATATATTTCTGCATATGAAATTTTCTTAAAGTGGATGTTTTCTGTTATTTATTTACATTTATTTATGTATATTTATGATTTTATTTAATATTTTATTTACAATCTAAAAATAAAAAATGTTTATCTAAACCATCTAAATTTAATTTTCATGTATATATATATGGTATGTATATATATATTAAAAGTTATAATGTATTTAAGTGTTCTCTTTATTATACCTTTTGTATGCTAACAATAGGTAGGTATAAATATGTGGCCACTCTAGTTTTAAATCCCAGTGACATTAGCCCCTGATTATTATAGTTAATTAGTTAAACAAACAAACTAAACGTTTGGTCGAAAAATGTTGAAATTTTTTAATCTGGAGTCTTGGGATGCATATAAGAGATACTATATGAAGTGTCAACATGTAGGTACCTAGTTGAAGAATTCATATTTCATGATGGTTATTACATACATTGATACTTATTACAAGTTTATTGTAAAATTATGGGGCTTGATGGTTCATAAAGAAAAACCTCTTTCTTTAATATTCTTTCAAAACAAAAAATTTATAATTATAATCATGGCAATTTTCAAAGATTCAAGACGAATCTATTAATACTAATTTTAAAAATCTATGTTAAAACTAAAAAAAAGATTACCGAGCTTGAAAAAGTAAATTAATTCTCCACAAAGACTTTATTATGAAAGTATTTTCGGGTGGAACAAAATGATGAATAATAAATATAAATATCAGAAATTTTGTTTAATCAATTTTGTAAATTTAAAAAATAAATCTAAACAAAAAATTAATAAAATTTGAAATGAAAACCTTTGAATCTGAAAATATTTACAGCCGGAGGTGGAACTAGGGATTTTTACGCACGGAAAAAAAAATTACGCTCTTCATACATCAATAATCAAATACTCTTCTCGAGAATATTTATTAATAATTAATATACATTTATACTTATTGAATTTTAACCTAATAACAGTATTTAACAAAGTTAAAAATAATCTACATGTTATTTTAAATTTTGGTAGGAGGGCTGTAGCCCCCCAAATTTTTCATCCTAGTTGCGCCTATGCCTGTCTTCCACCCCTAGTTACAGCATCTCTGAATGAACTAAAATGAGAAATCTTTCTAAAATTCTCTCAAATTAGAAAAATCTTAAAATAAATATCATTCATTATATTCATAGATTCACAGCGAATCTAAAGATATCATTTGAATTTTTTAAGTTTGCTTTTGATCAAATTTTTTATATTTTGAAATTTTGCACTAAATATATCAAAAAATGAATTATTGTTGATTTTCAGGAAACAAAATTAAAAAAGAAGGGAAACAATCTAAAGTAGACTTTATGACAATTCTGTTCAAATTCTTTATTTTACGAATTGATCAATTGGTACATTGGGAATAAAAAATGCTTAAATCCTCATATTATGTATGTGATAGAAAATCATGGCTTGCAATCTCCTTAATTAAATAATAGTAACACTAAGAAATCCAAAAAGTCTCAATAAAATGTTACAAAAATAATATAAAAAGTAAAAATTATATAGGTATATTGTTTACAATTATCAGTATGATTAACATATTGGTCATATTCTAAGTAACATTACAATTTGTACCTTTGTCATAATTAAATATAAATGTACATAAAAGCTTGTAAGCAGGAAATACTGGTATGCCCATCAATATATGATGTCTATGTAACAATATATTTTATTGTAAGGGTACATGTAAATGTACACTAAAATAATAGCTTCTTGATGAATACTGAATATTGTGAATGTACTAATTATGAAGGACATCAATCATTTATTACAATTAACCTTTATTTAACAATTACCTAACCATTAATCATAAATATGTTTTTGGATATTTTCAAGACAACAGGTGCAGCGTCCTATGATGTCAAACAAACCATATAAAAGAGGGACAAAAATGATTTTATTATAAAAATTCATAATTTTAAATTAACCGGTATCTGATGCTTCATAATGTCACCTCTCAAATATAAATTATAATTCATATTTAGTTATAATTTAAGTTGAAATTATTTAAATTCAAAATGTTTCATCTAATTATTATTGTTCTAGTAATTTTAGAATAATAATATACTTGTAAGTAAAAATTTTTTATCATTCTATATTAATTAGTAGGGTAATAATACAATCTTTTAACCATTTGCTTATATTTCTTAACTTTAATCTCATTTAAAAATTCATGAAATTCGCACTCATTCTAACTGTAATGATAAATAATATAAAATTTTTTTGATCTGATATAATGCTTTTCAATGCTATAAATTGGTATGATTGGAGAATTATGGCACATTGTTGTCATGCTCCATGGCATCAGGCCATTCCCGTTCATTCCTATATAAGGGCATTAAACAATAGTCCTGTTTTCTCTGGTTCTGAAATGAGAAAATTTGATTCTTATGCAACTATCGAAGAGCTATTGAAACCGATTAAGAATCATTATTAACTAGTTATAATATTTACCAATAATTTTATTTTTAGATAAATACTTATAGTTAACATTTCACAGCATTATTCACATTTTGTTTTGAACATTTCATAAATAAAATAAAACATGTACATGATTTATTCAAATTATCTAGATAAATTAATAGTCAAATAATTTATAACTAGGGAGGCATAACTTTAGGAATAGGCATAGAAGCTGGCATTATACCATTTGTGCCATTAGTTTGGGCTTGTCCGATATTTGATGAATTTGATTTATTCATTGTATTCATATTTTGTTCATATGCCGTATGAATCATTTTAGTACGCCGTCTAGTATAATGTTGCCAAATTAATAATAACTGTTCATCAATGAATTTTGAACAAATAGCAGTAGCTATTTCTTTTCTAAATGGCTCATGCTGTAAGAGATCTAAAAAATACAAGCACATTGGATACCTGGAAAAATTAACAAACATAGGTGAGTATAATATTTAAAATACATTGAAGTTAATTCATTAATATGATATATTTAAAAAAATGTGTTTCTATATAACCATATTTTTCGGGACATTATTTACTTTTTATACTTAAATGGAAAGCAGTTACATTAAACACTTTTAGACAAATTTATATTTTTATTCCATAACTGTCTGGAAAAAGTACCTTTTAAAATTTATATTTCTATAAAATTGAATGATTGGTCTCATAATGTAAAAGATAATTTAATGATACTCCCTTATATTAAACTGTACATAAAAAATCTACTGATACATTTCAATCAGGGTATCGTGGACCAACTTGTATGTATGAGTAAATTAATAACAAACTAAATTCTATGATTAATTTAAAGCAATAAGTTTTAAATTATAAAATGAAAATGTTGTACAATTTTTAAATATTCATTAATTTATTGGTATAAATTATTTAAAATCAGTTTTTAAACAATGTAAAGGAATATATTTCCATGTATTCAATATACTGATTAATACAAGGTAGTAAAATTATCGATTTTAAGAAGAATAAATAACTTAATTTATAAATGCAAAAGTGTAAATAATTACTTGATAAATTTTGCATAATCTGGTTCTTTCCAATACAGTAAATATTTTAAGTAGTTAATAAACGACTGATCTTTGAAGTAGCCACGTTGAGCTAAAACTGAATAGTTTAATAATTAGAAAATATTTTATGGAAAAGAAAGTTTAAATTTTTTTTACAAAAACTTACAGTTCAAATAATTTGGATTTGCCAAGCATTGGACAAATTCAAGTTCAACTTGAAATCTTAATTTGTCATCGGTTTCTGGACCGCCTAATAAAAATAAGGATGAATAGTTACTAAAGTCAATAATTAAAATGTACTGCATTGTTTGGACTTATTAATGATTTAACTAGGTAGAGTATTCCTATTTTTCATTAATCATAATTGAGTAAACAATCAATCTAAATTTTGAAAAACTTGCTTGGATTAATTTATTAAAACTGTTAAATATTTATCATTGAATAATGTAATGTTCAAAATTACCTTTATTGGCCATATTGTTTATTTTATTTCAGTAAATTCTTCATTAAAATTGATACTATTTACAGAAGGTTCATGTTAACATGTACATTCTGAATTCAAATTAGACATCAAATAATGACATTATATATATAATATTAATAACTAAATCATTGTGAACATAAATATACGTACTTTTTAAAATTAAATAATCCAGAAATCACTAGATATCTGTTGACAAATTTAATGAATCACTTAACTATAAAAAAAAAGTACGATTTTGATACTGTGACTCACGTAGGTACCAGCTATCAACGATGAACAGTGGAAATATTGATCATTCAGTGTCGCCTCGTAAGGCGCGTATTGCTACATATTCCTTATACAATGAATGGTTAATCTGTTATGATAAGGATAACTTACATTTTTTTTTATAACACGAGTAATAAGAACTTAAAAATACATATCAATATTAAATTAAAATTGATAACTGTGCTTAAAAGTTGTATTAACAATACTGTTTAACGTTTAAGTAAATATTGCTACCACAGATCCGAAAATGAAAATAATGTTTGAGTTGTAATAAATGTAAAATCAAAAATAATCAACCTAATGTTTTATTTTATTTGGAATTATTATTATTACCATACATAGTATTAGAACTAAGTGTTAACATTTTTTAAATTAATTAATTTATAGTATACAATACAATGGTAGACAGTGCATTGACTGAAAAAGTACTGTTGGCCACTGGAGGATATGATCATACAATTAAGTTATGGCATGCAAACACTGGAGTTTGCAATAGGAGCTTGACACATTTAGATTCTGTATCCTTTAAAATGTTATTTAAAATATAACATTGTGTACAAAACCTGAATTTGAAATTGTAAAAATGTATTTTATCAACAGTATTGAGTTCTAAGTCAAATTGAATTGTATTAATTTAAACATATTTTAAGTATAAAAAAAAAAAAACTGTTGTTCATTATGCATTAGGGACCATTACCTTTTGTTATATCATAATTCATAGGTATTGAAATAAGACAGGAGATAATATTATGGAATACAGCTTATGAATTAAAATTCTTTCATATTCCAAAGTATAAATGTGTATGATATATTCTAATCTATAACATATTTGATAATTTATAAGTATTAAAACATTTTTTGCCATTTAATTTCTTTAAATATGATGATGTGTTATTTATTCATGTATATTTCATATATAAAATAAGTATTCATTTTTTCCATAATTTCACTATTTTAAGTTAATTGTATTAGATTCCTTGACCTAAGTATTTAGCAAGTAAATGCATTAGAAATAACTCCTGACAGACAACTCTTAGCTGCTGCAGGTAATTTTGTCAACTTTATCTTATAATGCATATTTGCATATTCATACTTATAATATGTATGTAGGATTTCAACACATTCGTATGTATGATTTAAATTCAAGCAATCCAAATCCAATTTTAAATTATGAAGGGATTTCAAAAAACATAACTGGTGTTGGATTTCATGAAGATGGCAAATGGATGTTTACATGTGGAGAAGATTACTGTGCTCGTGTTTGGGATTTAAGGTAAAAATAATTTATTAAAACTATCAAATTAAATCTCATTATTCATTTAATCTAATAATAAATACTAATAATGTTAAATTTGACTTTATTGGTTGGCTATTATTAATATGATATAGATCTAGAAACTTGCAGTGTCAGCGTATATTTGAAACAAATGCACCTATTACTAGTATATGCCTTCATCCAAATCAAGGAGAGTTAATATTGGGTGATCAGTCTGGTTTACTTCATCTGTGGGATTTGAAAACTGATCATAATGAACAACTTGTAAGTGTAGTACATCATTTAAGTTCTGTAAATTTAATCTTCTTCCAGTTTATACTTTTCTTAAGCTTAGATACCTGAAGTTGATGCTTCCATACAATGTGTGGCTATTGACTCTAGTGCAAATTATGTTGCTTCTGTAAATAATAAAGGAAACTGTTACCTATGGAAGTTGAATGGAAATGGTACTAGACTCAGTCCAAAGCACAAAATGATTGCTCATAGAAAATATGCTCTTCATTGTAAATTTAGTCCAGATTCATCGTAAGTGTATATATAAATATATTAATTTGTTATCTCTGATTTAAGAAATATTGTTACTTTTATAGACTATTAGTAACATCTTCAGCAGATCAAACAGCTTGTATTTGGAAAACTAGTGATTTTTCTTTAAAACAAGAATTAAAAGATGAACACCAAAGATGGGTATGGGATACAGCTTTTAGTAATGACTCGGAGCATTTATTAACAGGTATATTATCTGCTATGAATAATGGTTATATTCAATATTAGAATAAAGACAGTTCATTTTTTTAATATACACAACATTTATAATACATTTTTTTTCAAAATAGTTTACAATAGTTCACTAACTTATGTTAACTTATTAACAATGCTACTAAGATAAATTAGTATATTTTTTTATAGCCATTTATGTATGAATATATTTTAATTAGTTGCTTAAGATCATTATTTTATGTGAACAGTAAAAATGAATATCAAATATTTATTAAATTAATATTTTCAAAATTTAATCAACATTTTAATATAATAATAAAATCTTGATTTTTGAACATATTATTTATGTATCTATATTCATTTAACATTATTTGGCAGTCAGTGTTGTGTTTTTAATATATAAATGTATCTAATCATATAATGGGTTCTATCTTATTAAATTTTGATTTACTTTTTTTTTTTTAAATACTTTAGCTTCATCAGATGGTATGGCCAGATTATGGAACATAGAGACTGGAAATATAGAACGAGAATATGAAGGACATCAAAAAGCACTTACAGCTTTGGCATTTTGTGATTCATTTAGTTAAAAATCATTAAGAAATAAAGTTGGAGAAACAAAGACATGCATTTGTACCTCCAAAACCAAATGCATTTTTTATTGCTATTCTTTTTTCTTGTTTCCATTCCATTGGTTTTTTGGTAACACAAATTAAACCTTTAGATTCATTACAAATATTATCTAGATTTGCTGTTGGTGGAATTAATCCTTCATAACAAGCAAGAATTGTGAAAATACTTTCTAAATTTCCTGCAGACCCTAATAAATGACCATGAGTACCTTTTGTTGATGAAACATGTACATTAATGCTATGTTCATCAAAAACTCTTTTGATTGCTGTTAACTCAATAGCATCTCCTATTGGAGTCGAGGTAGCATGTGCATTTACATACGTAATTTGTGTTTTATCTACATTTGCATCTAGTATAGCTCTAGTCATAGCTAGAAAAGCTCCTTGACCATTTTCTGATGGTGATGTTAAATGTGCAGCATCACCAGATAAGCCATAACCGAGAATTTCTCCATAAATATGAGCTTTTCTATTGAGTGCATGTTCTAATTCTTCTAGAACTACTATAGCAGATCCTTCACCCATTACAAAACCATCTCGATTCATATCGAATGGTCTTGATGCCAATTCTGGTGTTTCATTTTGGGTAGATAGTGCACGTAGTCTACAAAAAGAAGCGATTGTTAAAGGACTAATACATGATTCAGCAGCACCACAGATCATTGCTTTTGCTTGTTCGTACTGAATAAAACGAAAACCATCTCCGATAGCATGTGCTCCAGTAGCACAAGCAGTAGAAACAGCATGATTAGGCCCTTGTAAACCATACGCCATACTTATCTGTCCAGCTGCCATGTTGAGTAGAATTCGAGGAACAAAGTATGGGCTGACTTTACTGTAACTAGTTGCCAGTGATTCGGCTGTTTGACACACATCTTCTAAATCTACCATTCCTATTCCTACACTGACTCCAATATTTTCTTTATCAACTTTACATGAAAATATTTTAGAATCGTCAACCGCTTCTTGGGCAGCAATCAAAGCTAGACGAGTTGAAGGGGCCATTGTGCGTATTTTGCTCTTGGGCACCAATTCGGGTAGATCCAGTTCATCCAGAATTGCAGCGATTTTGGTAGGAATATTTTTGTAAAGGTCATAGTCTAGTTTTCTAACAAACGATTTGCCCAATAACACATTTTTCCAAGAAGTTAATTTATCGGCACCAGCAGGACAAACGACACCCATACCGGTTATTACCACTCTTTTTTTCATTATTTTATTTTGATATATATTCACTTGAAAACTATTAAGACAAATGAAAAATTTTAAACTCGCGAATTCTATTGAATGTTTTCAAATTTCATAATTGAATTTCAGGTTTCATCAGATTCTTGATAACAGATAAAGTGATGATAACAACTTGTTATCTGAATTTTGGACTTGGGTTAGTTCACCATTAACGTGATAGCGCGAGAAGAATTTTGAGAGCTCATACTATCCAACAAAAATGAAAATTAGTCCAATAGACAATAGCAAATTTTCCACTGATGAAAAAAATAGGAGAGACGATTTTTTTGTCTTATTATTTAACATGTTGAGTGCCGTGATCAATGAGATAAAATATTGATATTTTATTTGTTCATATCGACTGCTAATCGTATAATGGCATAACTAACAGATATTTTATTGTTGTTAATATAATTATTTATTAATAATTTAATCTCGGTATTAATACCACTACTTACAAAACGAGATGAAAGATGTAGAAGTGGTACAAAGTACAAACAGTTACGAGAAGAATGTGAAGAAAAAAAGAAAAAGGTTATTAAAAATAAACCAAACATTGAGACTCTTTTCACTGAGTCAAAATCGAAAATAGGTATAAAATTTCCGTATTTTTAGTAAGTACATAATTTAAGAATATCTCTATACATTTTAAGGAAATTTTAAGTTTTTATTATATTATCTGTGCACTTTTATATTTTATGCAGGTTAATAATTTTTTTTTTTAAATTTGTTAACCTATCTAATTTATTCCTCACGATATGTAATATTATCGGGCGTAACACTTTTCCATCAAAAGTGTATCTTTCCCTTTTCCACCAAATTATAGTTTAACCGATACTTGTTTCCACCAAATCAATTTCTATATCACCTACAAGCAAGCTCGGGCATTAACGATTATTCTCATGGTAAATTTTTTTTTAAATATCTATGTATATTTGCACTATTAGTATGTAAATGTTCATAAATTTCAATTTCTAGTTACGAGGTTTTTAAATTAAAATTTAACTGTATCACATGTACATTACAATCGTTTTTACAGCATGTTCAATTTACGCTACCAATGCTATTTTTAACAAAAAGTGAAATTTACAATATTTAAATTTACGAGAATTTGGCGTGTAGCTGTAATATACGTTTATTGTACAATAAACGTTTGCAATTATAAATAGTTGTTTCTTACTATAATGGAAGTTATAAAAATCCAGGTATTTCGATGAACATATTTTTCGTCTAAGAAAATTACTTAAAAATTGTCCATCTTCATATTTACCAGAAAATAGTATTACATAATGTCATACGGAAACTTAAAGTGGCAAATATTATGTACAAAATATTTTTGGTACTTATAGGTAATATTATTAGTAAAATATACCATATGAAGTGGAGTTGATGTATATTTGACCTATAGTAATATATAGTACAGACTTACTACAGTCATAGGTTATAGTAATAGTTATATTAATAGCTAGTGTTAAGGGCGAATGAAAATTATTTTCTCTTCCACAAAATACTTCTATTACCCTTAAGGGGTTTCATATATTATTGACGTGAAAAACGTACTTTGGTACTTAGAAGTTGCATTACGACTTATTTCCGTCTATTCTGAACATTCAGTTAAGTATTTCATTTTAACTAGAGAGTAGTTATTGTTTTTCAAAAGCACCTGAAAACACGAAAGAAAATATTTTATATTATTTTGCAGCTTTGTGTGCAAGAAGTATAAAAAAGTGTACCAATGAAGGTATTTCTGTAAAACAATTTTAGTTGTAAATAGTTAAAAAAATTTGGAAAAAATAAGCATTTTCTGCAGGTGTTTGGTGGGGATAAGAAAGTAAGATTAAGTTGAGTTTATGAGTAAAATATTTAAATTACATATTAAATTGTTGAACTTCTATTTCATATTGGGATACCACAAAAAAAAAGTATTATATAATAGACTATCGAGAATTCGTAGTAGCAAGGTTATTGATGTTTTAAAGTTGAACTGACCGTTACAAAACTTTCCATATTGTCATGTTATTATTCATATCAATTATAATATGAATAATATTCATATTTAATATTAATTAGCCGTTTCGCGTGTTCAAGATAAACCATTTTTTCCTATGCAGAATTTGTAAAAACCTCAGAAAAATTTCGGAAGGGGGAGTTACAACCCCCAAACCCTACCCCTAGTTGCACTACTGATTATTGTTATTATTATTACTATTAATATATGTATTATTTTTTTTATTTTTATTATGTAATATCTTATTATTTTAAATTATATTATATTATTGTTATATATAGAAATATATTGTGAATTAGATTTTTGTCCGTATTAATAATTTTTTTTTCCGGTTTTTCCTGCCTTGAAGACCATCCCGTATAACAAATTTCCCTCCATCTTATTTTATCTTCAGCTACTTCTCTATAGTTTGCTTCTGGGTCTACTGATTTGACTTCTCTCTTCACACAGTCTCCCCATCTGAGGCGTGATCTGCCTATTGGTCTTTTCCCTTCCGGGTTCTCTTTAATTACTGAATTTATCATTTTTGTCTTTTTTTCTTCAGGTGTGACCGGCCCACATAAATCTTATTTTTGCGACTTCTCTTGAAATGCTTGATCTTTGGAACATATTTAGAAGTTCCTCATTGGTTCAAATTCTGAATTTTCCTGTTCTTGAGTCGAGACAAGGTCCATAAATTCGTATTAGAATTTTTCTTTCAAATGTGTCAAATCTTCTTTCCTCTAGCTTTCTTAATTCCTTAATTGTTTCTGACCCATATAAGATGACGGGGCATATTAATATCATGTAAATTTAAATTTTTAAATTTAGAGATATCGATCTAGATTTTAGCAGAGTTCCCGTATCAAAATAACAGTTGTTTGCTAGTTGTATTATTTGTGAAATATCTACCTTTAACTAATTTTCCTGAGTTAAGAGGACACCTAAGTATTAGGTTGTGGTACTCTGTGGTAGATATGTCCATCTACATTCATACTTTCTCCATGTTGATACGTTCTGTCTCTTCTGTGGGGTTTCATATATTCTGTCTTTTCGTCATTTATTATAAGACGGACTTTACTAGCAGCATTTATTAGTTTCTTACATTGTATTTTTTATTATCTCAATATTGTCTCCTATGATGGCAATATCGTTGGCATATGCTAGCAGGCCTATTTTTGATTGTCGTAATGTTATATTTTCTGATATGTTCATATCTTCGAAAACCTTTTCTAGAACTAAGTTAAAATAGATCGGGGATATTGCATGCTCCTGTCTCAGACTAGTTGTTACTTTGAACGTTTGAGATGTAGAGTTCGCTATTTTTATTTATATTTCAGAATTTTCTATGGTTGTTTTAATTAGACTTATTAATTTTTTTGGTATATTGAACTCTTTTAATATATTAAATAGGCTTGGTCTATGTATAGAGTTTATATGTTTTCTTAAAATCAGCAAACAACGTATAAGCCCCCTTGACATACTCCCACATTTTTTGGAATATCTGTATAATAATAAATAAATAAATAAATATGCATATTTACTAAATATGTAGATTCGATTAAAAATCATTAAATGTAGGCCCGGATTTAGCCGAATTCAACCTCCCTATGTTAATGAAGAACAAGTGACTCAATATTAACATAAAAACAATGTATATAATTTAATCTCCCCCAATCCACAAGAAAATTGAATATACATCACTGTTTTTAATTGCATTCTTATTTTTTTTTCTAGCAAACTCACTTCTGTATGAACTATCTTCATGAACATTTAGTATTGCTAAACCGTTTAGTCTAGACATATGCCATTGAAGAGCACTGACATTTTTAATCTTCTCAAAGTCGATTAAAATGACCTTTCAGCGGTTGCAATAGAAACTGGAAGCTTAGCAAATATTTGTAAGAGGATTTTTACATTTGTAAAAAATTGTTCATTTAATTATTAATTCAATATTACACTATATACTATACATGACGGTATTTGATATCAAAGTAATTTATAATACTTAAAAAAAAGTTCAATTCGCTGAACGGTGGGTGCTTTAGCTTCTTATCACCTCCTACTCTTGAAGTATACCACTGATATAACCTATATTGGTTATGCGCAATTTATGTTTTTTTATGATATAAATTTATACTAAAATATTCAAACGCTTAAATAAAAACCATGCACCTTATATATAATATTAAAAATTATTGGTTTCATAATAATTTTTTTCAAAGTCTGGAAATATAATATTGGTTTATTGTATTTAAAATTAAATAAAAATTATTTAAATTTGTACTTTCAAAATTACTGAACGTTTAAATGCAGTTAAAAAAAAAATACAAAAAATAAATAATAATTGAATCATCTAGTTCGCTTTATTAGGAATAATTTTATTTCCTACTTATACTTAATAATTATTTATGTAATTTAGTTGCATAATTTACGAAGAAGTAAATCCATGATCATTATACTAAAATATTTCGTGTTACTTTGGATAGATTACCTTATAAGATAATAATATACATATCTTACATGTATCTACAACGTTTTGGAGTTTAATAAATACTATGACTAGTACTTATATAACGGAACTAGAAAACAAATAGAACATTTCATTTTAATACTTTATGTTCGAAAATGTTTTTATGATTATGTTGGTTTCAATATTTTGAAATTGTAAAAGTAGAAATAAATTTGTGTATGTGCATTTATAAATTCAAATGAAAGTATAACTATATACTATATTATACTATATGTATAGTATTGCAAACATAATTTAGAAACATGAAAAATAAATATGATCAATATGTTTTTTAATAAATGCATGTATTTGATCTTTTTATGATTAACATAGGGTGTTTATTGTTGGTTTTGTAATGCAGTTCAAGTTACTGATTTTTTTTTTTTATTGTATAAATATTCATTATTAGGGTTTTCATATTAATAATAGGGTTATTTTAAAACGATTAAAGAAGAATGATTTTATAAAGTTTTTTTTCGTTTGGAGCCGAATCGATTGTGCATTTTCTCGGTAAAATCATTTGACTTTAAAATTTAAGTCTGAAGTATTAAT